ACCATATTTCATTTTGTTTGTCTTTGAAGATAGATTATATTACAATACAAGTAATACTCCTAAAAGCGTATTATTATTGTATACTATCATTAATAGTACCCGTATACAATTATTATATAAAATCTGACTAGATTATGTAACAATTCAACTCGCGATTTGGTTTTGTTTATGTAATATTGTTTACAATGTCAGATGTAGTATAAAAGACGCAATTACTAACTTGATATTAAGGAAACGACTAGCCAGGATATTATCTTTTGATGTAAAGCTCAAAAGCTCTAAGTTGACCTTTTTAAATTACTTTTAAAACTCGATCAAGTTCGTTTGTGAGTCACTTGTCTGACTTTGACATACATTTTCACTGTTTTTATTTCTTATATCTTTACAACCATTGCTAATTTTGATCTAAGCAGAAATCAGATCCAATTAACTATAAAATTAACACAATTGTTGAATTTTTATTTGATATTTTATTACCAATGAAATAAAAATAAACATTCCCGCGGAATCTGATGACGCCATTGCGCTAGTGTATTTATAACCCTAATTTTTGGAAGCCGTTGCCAAGGTATAAAATATGTATTAATCGTTTTCGTAAGGAAATTCTTGTGCATTCGAATGGTCATCAATTTTATCACAATTTGTGACTATGACGGCTTTGATTACTGATACAGTAGTTTCACGTAATTAAATATCCATCACCTATAATCCAAGATTTTAGTATGCTTAAGAGGATGACATTAATTTTTGAACCGACACCCACAAATTAGTCTAATCGCCATACCCCTATGTTTCGTATTCCCCTAAGGTTTCGTTTCAGTGTTCGAAAGCATTTCAACAACAAACAACAACGTATTTCCCTTGCGTTATTCTTACCTTCCTCCAGGGGATGTGACCTATTCCCCTATTTCATAAAAAAACGTGGCCCCAAACCCCCTTTCACCATTATCTTGCGCGAAGCAGAACAGCTAGTTTTTTATTAAATTGTCGTTAAATGAAAAATATTGAAATCACGATTAATATTTGCGGTCATAATATAGCAAATAAATCGTGATAAAACATATTTTTTTAATTATAGTTTACACAAACCTTCAGATGAGTTATATAACCTTCAATATTCGATGCACTTTCTAAAATAATCGCAGTTTTAATGAGATTAGGTCTCGTCCATATATTTGCTTGACGGCTAAGGTCACTATTAGCGACCTCGCTTATTAATCGCTGGTGTTCACGACATACGATATATCATAAGGTATATTACTTACCGAGCAATTTACGAGAATACTATAGTAGGTATACTTTTAAATCAAAGTTAGCCTGCGAACGTGCACGCTGAGGTCGTGCGGTCGAAACACGTCTGAGCCAACGGACTTTTCTTTCTTTGTGCGCAATTAACATTCGTACGATGAAGGAAACGTCGACGGCCTGTGAGGCACAGACGGGTGATCGCCTACGAAGAAAAAATTATCACGAAATGTAAAAAGATCAAGTAAGATCAAGATCAAGCACCACTGGTTATTTTTTAAAATAATGGGTGGTTAAGGTGAAACTTTGCTAAGTGGAGTCTCGGAGTGGGGTAGACTAAATCTAGTGCAATTTAATCCCAAGAAGACACAAGCGTTTTCCGCTTATAAAACTCTCTTTGTCCCTATTCCTCTGTTCGAAGACATTTTCTTTAGAGCCTCAGCTAGTACCAGAATACTGGGCATTGACATATCGAATGACGTTCCAATCGCGGTTGGAAGAGATGGCTATATTAGCCTCTTGAAGAAGCTTGATGTGCTTGATAAGCGAGACGGTACTTCACTCCGGGCTACCACTAGGAACTTTATAAAGTACAAATTCAGCCCCACATCGAGTACTGCTTACTCCTCTGGGTGGGAGCTACTAACAGATCCTGCCACTTGCCCGTATTCAACGTTGAGCGATTTGAATTGTCGACCACTAGTCACTTTCCGAGCGGCTTGATCCCTTGGCGATGCGTAGAGCTGTGGGGTCTCTTCGCACCTTCTACCGCATTTACTATGAAGAGTTTCATCATCGGACGTCCAGACAGAATACGAAATTCCACCCGTATCACCTCGACGTCTGTGTCCGTCCACAACTGCGCTTTTTACCGCGCACCACCACTATGTGGAACCATCTACCGACTGAAGTATTACCGAACCCTTTCGACTAAGGGTCCTTCAAGAAAAAAGCATAAAAATTCTTAAAAAGTGGGCAACGCACTTGCGAGCCCTCTGGCAATATGAGTGTCTATGGGCAGTATCACTTAACATCATGGGCAAACAGATCAACTCTGTCTGTCTGTCCGTAGACTTTCACACGCCGTTGGTTTTTGGGGTTTAAATAATATGGTTTCGTTGCATTGCTGAGAGTCGCGCGCCTAGTATAATCTAACACTGATCCATATTTAACAATAACTACCATAAACCAAGTCGACGATGACTATGGTTCAAGGTTCAACGGCTTTTACATTGCGTAATATTTAACTCGAAATTCATCGTCAAATTTTGTGTTGTCGTGCGAAAAATTTCTCGTGACTAGACGCCTAAATACAAGTTATGAATTTGATCTAGATAAGTGCAATGTCACCTCTTGATTAGAGACTAGGTCAGGTCATATTAGTCAAAATAATCTTAAATTAGCGATTAGGACGTAGCGTAGGAGCAGTGTCCTGAATTCAATTGCAGTCGAAGTAATTTATCGAATTATCTAATTGTCGTATATGTTCGTACGTAAGTAGTACGTATTAACCTCTTTACGAACCTCTGTACGTATAACCTTAGTAACGGCTTTTTATTTTTATGCTGTTAAAATAACTGGCGCTACAAACTTTTTAAGGTCTGGGCCTCAGATTTTTATATCTGTTTCATGATCATTTGTTAATATAATAGGCAAGTAGATTATCAGCCCGTTGCCTGACACACACCGTCGACTTTTTGGGTCTAAGGCAAGCCGGAATCCTCACGATGTTTTCCTTCACCGTTCGAGCGAATGTTAAATGCGCACATAGAAAGTCCATCGGTGCACAGCCGGGGATCGAACCTACGACCTCAGGGATGGGAGTCGCACGCTGAAGCCACTAGGCTATTACTGCTTTCTTTTTGATGATGGTACTCTTGCGAAACTCTTGTACGCAATATTGTTTCGTTGTTATATCTTATTTATTTAAATCTTATTTTTCCTCCTGATTTCCTACAATCTACAACTCTCCTACTGAATATTTAATCAGTCCCACTTCAAGTAAATAATGATTAATGAAATATACACATAGCCTTATTGCGGGAAATTCTTTCAGAATCATTTAAGATTAAATTTAATTAGTTGTTTATTGTGGAAGTAAAACACTGGTGAAATAATACAATTTAATCATAATTTAATGCACTTATAATTAAAACTTTAAATAACGATAAATAACATAAGTATATGAAAATTAAATACGTTTAAACTTAAATAAAGATTATTGTTCTTTTTTTTCTTTTTATACATAATTGTTATACGATTTTTTAATACCAGCGTCAAGCACCATCTTTTTACTAAATAGTGATCACGTAATGTGTATTCATAAAACGTGGGCTGAAAAGTTTAACATAGAAAAATTTTAGTATTAATTTTTAGTATGAAAATAAAATAAAAAAATAAAATATGTTTATTATGGAACATAAGATACAGGTATCACTTAATCCAAGTCATCAAATTATTAATCCCTACTCATCGGCAAAGAAGACAGAGGGTGTAGGCCGACGTAAAAAAGCCGGCGTAAAAAACTCTCGGTACTCTTTTCAAATAGCAAATCATCAAATAACACTTATTTTAAAACTAAATGACAAATATTATTTGTCTTTAGCCTCAAAATAGACTTCAGTTTCGGCGATTAAATGAATGTACAACATAGTACATAACACAAGGATGTCAAAAATGAGAAAACATTAACTATGTTCCCCGGGGCAAGCGATATATATATATACAGTGTAAACTCTTTATAACGATTTTAAACAATTACGTTAACACATAACTCTTTTTTTCTTTTACTGGCTATCTTGTCAGTTTCAAAGTTTGTTTACGACTGATAATACACAATAGTTCCTACAGGCAATGTAATCTAAGAATAATGCCACACGTGGTATTATGCAATAAACAATAACAAAGGCGAGAAGGCTGTTTATGACCTCAGGTGTCTTAGAAATTTCGGCACCTCAAATCGGTTAGTTTCGTAAGCTGCTTACAAAAACAATTACACTTAAGTATGTTGTTGATGTCTGAATATGAAAATATTTCTTTGTTATAGAGAATGTTTGTTGCGTTATAAAGAGTTAATGTATGGGTTACCAACTAAACAAATTTAACGCATGTTTATGGTATAGAGAGTTCTTCGTTATAATCTATATATATAAAAGGAAAATGGTCTTCGTTTGAGGCTCCTTCACGCCTAAACCACTGATCGTATCGACATGAAACTACCACCATTCGAAATTTTTCCTAGATGGTTTATGGCTATTTATTTATTAAATTCCAACGTTCCTTCATTTTTTTATTGCTGTTTTACTTTTATGAAAATTTATCCATACGGACTTCACCGCGGAAACATTCGGGGAGGCTTCCTAGAACCTCTAAACGTCAACATCTGTTAACAACTCGATTTTCGAAATATTTCAATTTTCTTAGCGGGAAGTTAAAAAGAAGAATAATAAAAATATGAAAAAAAATAAAATAATGAAACATAAAATTTATTTTAATTCGTCCAGCAAAGCGGGCGCGAAACGGCTAGTATATTATATATAGAATGACGTTATAAAGAGTTATACTGTATATGTATTATTGCCATAACCTTGCCAGTCGTCTTTTGCGTCTTTCCACGCTTTGTCAGCTTACGAACTTTTCACCCCACCTAACACTTGCATCACTAAAGTATGATTGTTTACCACGCTACACGCTACTATACACGCCGCACGCTTGCGGTGCCCCTTTTTTCTATTCCGTGACCAATTATACCAAATCTAGCCATCTTGATTCTGCAGCTGCTTCAATTGTTTAAGGACGGTGTCGAGCAGTTTCCTTCTATCTCTTTCATTCTTCTTAAGAACAGAGAAGACAGATGACTTTTGCTCAGCTTCTCTTAACTTCTCGAGTAATGTTGCCGCTTCACGTGGCGACACCAGGGCGTATTTGGCTCCCTCCATACCGATATCGTGGAGGTAGGACGACCAGTCCCAACTTGTTATCAGATCCAAAAGTTGCCTGAAATAATAATAATTTATTAATCGCCTTTATTGCCGATCCACACTCTCCACCAGGCGACACAAGGAGCCGCGAGCGCGAGTATGGACGATGCGGAATTTTATCAAATAGAACCAATCATTTGGAATACAAAAGTGGGATCGGATAAGCAAAAATTAAATAAGACTAAAAACTAAAAAAGAATTAATGACTTTTAGAAGACACCGAAAAAAAAAAATATTTATATGTGCTATAAATTTGAGAGCAACTACATAAAGCGACAGTGTGGACTCGTACAGTCTCGACTCGCCAATAATCGCGGCCAGGGCATCGCGAGTTTTGAGCCGGCCTTAGATACAAATATTTATAGACCTTGGTACCCTCCTATTAATCGAAATTAATGTGTTTCTATTTAAGATAAATAATGGCGTAGCAATTACGATTTGTATTTTGGATATATAAGGGTCAGGTCACACACATTTTTGCTTTGATTAGCAAGATTAATTGTTAAGAAAATTTACCGGATAAGAATCACATAATATTGACGTTTCCTTTATTTAAATTACAATTATGTATGACAGCCGTCCACTCGTATGAACTATTATTTCGGGAATTGAACCCAGCCTTTAGGCGTTATTAATCCACAGAGGCTTCAAAATACATATTCAAAAATATATATTTATAGATAGTAATTAATGTTATATATATTCCTCACCGTAGACTAGCGAAATGCTCCAAAAGCTGATCTCGAAGACCAGGTAAAGGGTCACTCGCAGCGAACTGCTCGCATTGGATGACGTCAAGGTCGAGCTGGTGAAGGGCGCCCGCAGACACCGCCCGCACATCGCCTTCTAATAATAAAGCACGCAGCCGACACGCTATGCGCTGTACTGCCGCCGTTACTGCCGCCTCACTGTAAAAAAATATTGTCATACCAACAATCTTCGAACTATACTTCTATAGTTCAAATGCCCCATATTCTTCTGTGTAACTTGGTGTTTCGATAAGTTTTCGTCTATGGTAAATATAAGTACAAAGCTAATATATTGAAAAATGATTAAAATGTGTAGTGATGAATTAAAATAAATCGACTTACCGCGCACGCCGTGGTAATTGCTCTAGTGACGTCAGCACGCCAGTGAGGTAACCCAGCATATCTGTCACGAAAGATGACGCTTGTCCGCTTGGCTCCACTGATAATAAAATATAATTAAATGTCACTAAAATAACTTTGTGTTTTGACTATGTGAGTTAAAAGATTTGTATTAGTAGATTGTCAATGAAACCGCAATTGTTGAGTATTCTTTAAATCTAGAGCCTAGGATAGAATTATTTTATTGCATCATCACTACACAAATTCGATTTTTAAAAATCAATAATAGAAGAATGTGTTTGGCGGGTTTATTTGTTTTTTTTTTATTTTAACCCACAGATAATATTTTGACTATAAAGTTTTCATACAACAATCGTGAATCTCTTTGGTGATTGAAACATTTACCAAAAATAATAACATTCCAAATTCAAATCACTCAATTCCTAGAAATCTAAAAGCGTTTTTAATCTGTGTTCACAGTTAATAAACTGGCTTTTTTCATTAATTTAATAAAAAGTAAAATTGTATTTTAGAATGACAATTGACAAGTCTTACCTAAAAGCCAGTCATAGTTCTCAAGGTCAAGGAACTCATCCACCTTATGTTGCAAGTTCTCGCATATCTGCTTTTCTGCATCGTCTCGAGCGGTTTGAAACATGCTACCAGCGGGCTGAATAAGAAATCTTATTTAAAAAATGCGCGTAATACTCTCAACGCTTTGGTTATTGAGGTTCAAACGCAGTACCCTAGATTTAATAATCCCTAGGCTACTACAATATGAAAAATAAAATTATATGGAGAGAATGTCATATAGAAAAATAAGTTTATAAAAAAAAAAACAATAAGTGCTTTTTAATACGTCTACATGGTTACAGATTAGTCGAATCGATGACGAAGCATGCTTGTAATACGTTTTTTACGTCGCCTATTATATTTGTCGCAGCCTATCTAATCTTAATAATGTCCTGTTCAATTAATCTAGTCTAGTCAGTCTTCAAAAACATATCATATCTGATTTTGATCGAAACTTTAAATATTACCACGTAATTTGCCGTTTGCGTACGTAGGCACGTCATCTGGTGCGACGCCATCTTGCTAGCATTTTTATGGGAAAGGGTCGAAGTTGTGAATGTTTTAATAGACCAATAATAGAATTAAAAATCACAATTTGTACAGGTATAGTCACTAATAACCTGAAATAATTTTTGTCAAATATATTAGGACTAAGCAAGAGTAACTTGGTAACAAACAAAATTTTAAAGACTTTTAAAGGCCGGCAACGCACTCGCGAGCCCTCTGGTATTGAGCGTCCATGGGCGGTTCTAAAAAAAATACTAATAACAATAATTTACCTGAGTAGTTACCAGTTCTGAACCAGTAATATTACTTATAAACTCGTACAGATAGGGCGTTGCGCTCTCTAGGTACTGCGTGTCCAATATTATCTAAAAACAAACAATGCAAAAAATTAAAAAAAAAAACATTTCTAGTACGGTTTGATGTGCATCTTCTAAAACTTTTACCATGGAGAGTGTTCAAAGGAGTTGTTTGGATTAATACCTGTTTCATCATCAGACGTCGATGCAGAATACGAATTCCAGCCGTATCACCTCGACGTCCGTCTTTCCACAACTGAGCGTTTCTTAAGACATTTTTTACCGTTCACCACCACTATGTGGAACCAGCTATCCACTGAAGTATTTTCGAACCAATTCGTTTTAGGGTCCTTCAAGAAAAGAGCGTACCAATTCTTCAAAGGCCGGCAACGCACTAGCGAGCCTTCTGGCCGGGCAATGTGATTGTCCATGGGCCGCAGTATCACTTAACATCAGAAGAACCTCCTGCCAGTTTTCCCCGTTACATAAAAAAAAGCGGTTTTCCTTACGGCACACCTACCTGAACCAGTTGTGTAAGCGGTAACGCTCTTCGGAATAGGGCAGAAAGGCAGCCAGTGAAAGATCTAGTGAGAAGCAGGGAGGTGGAATGACGAGCAGCCGCCGCCCGCCCTCCGCCGCCCAAGCCCAGTCCAGAAGAGTACTTTAGCCATGCGTACATGAATTCCTTCACTTGAACATACACTGCGGGCACTACTGAGGAGAATGGGAATCTGAAAGTGTTTTTAACGAATATAGAAGCTGAAGAATGTTAAGTAATAAAATATAAAATAAATACATGTATACTGGCAGATCCGTCATACGTTGTCGTGTACCCACGTCTTACGTACAATAAAAAGTGTGTGTGTGTCAGCTACGACGCACGATTGGAGTTTACTCCTTACGAACGATAAAATGGCGATAATGTTCTGTGGCTGTCGACCATATTTTCATACTAAAGGTGGTAAGAACATATGTTTTTATAATATAAATGTTTGTAGTAGTAATAAAACGTACCTACATCATCTATGCCCAAATAGGATTTTCTTTCTGTGACCAAAGTTACCTTTATAGTAAGAGAAGAATAAGAATGAACAATCTTTTTAGTTTTAATTTCACTGACCATTACTATTGACAAAACTCTATGGCACGCTAGACAATCTACTTTTATTTTTTACACCTGTCAACACTGACAATGTTGTAACGTGGCTGTCAAAACGTGAATTCAAAATAGAAAAGTCTGTGTAATGTATTCCATCTCATTCTTTTACACGTTCAATCCATTTGTCTCTTTCTACATAACGCCTCAACTTTTCGTGTTACACTTGATTTTACTCCTCATAAAATTTCCGTACCGGGCCGTATAACTCAAATCGTTTCTTAAGGAGTAAACTCCAAAAAAAATATCTAATTATGTAAATCATTATCCACTCCACTTGAACACACGAGAAATTTTATCAAAATCTGTCCAGCCGTTTAGGAGTAAAAAGAGAGATATATATATCTTAATATATATATTTCTTGTGTGCGTGTGTATGTGACTGAACTTCTCTCAAACGACTGGACCGATTTTAATGAAATTTTTTGTGTGTGTTCAAGGGGATCTGGGAATGGTTTAGATTCACAAATCAGCCCGGCAGATGGCACTGCAGTCGGTACTTTCATACTTTGCTTAATATCCTAATCGCTTTAAATATCATGCAGGACAACGTCTGTGGGGTCCACTAGTATATATATATATCTCTCTCACTCACTCACTTTCAGATTAAACGGCTGGACAGATTTTGATAAAATTTCAATTTAAAAATGATTAAAATTAAAATTTGATTTTGAAAATATATATATCTCTCTTTTTACTCCTAAACATATATATATATTATGTATACAGCGTAAACTCATTATAACGTTATTCGCTATAACGCAAAACTATCTATAACGGAAAAATAGTTACATTTGTTTGGTTTAACACAAAATCCATACATTAACTCTTTCTGTCTGATGTCTCAACAACATACTTAAGTGTAATTGTTTTTATAATCAGCTTACAAAACTAACTTTTGAGGTGCCGAAATATCTAAGACACCGGTCATAAACAGCCTTCTCGCCCTTGTTTTTGTTAATTGCATTAACACGTGTGCCATTATTCTTAGATTACATTGCCTGTTGGAAATTTTGGTCTCAGTTACTAAACGCACCACCGTCACCTATCGTGTATTATCAGTCGTAAACAAACTTTTAAACTGTCAAGATGGCCAGTAAAAGAAAAGCGTTATGTGTTTAGAATAATTATCCTATTGATAGTAATAGATTTAGATTTTAGAATTAGAAATTATTGTAATTGGTTAAGTTTTTTTCTATTCACTCCCTATAACGAAAGAACATGCTCGGTCCCTTGAAATTCGTTATAAAGAGTTTACACTGTATATTAACCAATTGGTATTTTTGTTAAAAATCTATCGAAATTTTCCAAATATCGCTGAAATTAAAGATCAGCAACGCATTTGCGTATTCTGGCAGTGTGAGTGTATGTACACTTAACATCAATTGAAAATACGATGCCCACTGTTCAATAAAATAAATTGTGCGTGTACTAGGTTTAATGAATTTAATTGTCATAAATAAATAAAAATTGTAAATACTAGATGTACACACGTAAGAAGTGAAACTTCTTTATGATCTTATTTTTCGAAAAATGATCTACTATATGCAACTTTACAGAAATTCGTTAAATTAGATAAAGTTTAACAAAAGGCTTTTATTATCATAGCCATGAATACAAATATTTCATTTTACCTTATTACTCCGAAGATTATTATAGAATTTCATTAATTGTAATAGAATTATTACTATCATTGAAAAACGTGACGATTTGCTACAAAATTTCTCCCATACGTCGATAAAGAAGTTTCATTCCAACGCCGATAAAGAAGTTTGACTTCAAAAAGCAACATGGCGCGTAACCGAAAAATGTTACGCGTAACGAAAAAAATTTACACTAAATTTTTTTCCAACCTCGATAAAGAAGTTTCACTTCAATAAATAATAAATAATGTGACGGTAAATTTTTTTTCCAACGCCGATAAAGAAGTTTGACTTCAAAAAGGAACATGGCGCGTAACCGAAAAACGTGACGCGTAACGAAAAAATGTTACACTAAATTTTTTTCCAACCTCGATAAAGAAGTTTCACTTAAAAAAAATATTGGTATCAATATATATTTTAAAATAAAGATCGTTTTCCTATAGCAGACGTTATGCCCCCCGTTAGTTACGCTTCTGGCCAGGCCGCTCAGGATACTCACTTTCTGGGGAAAGCCTGTGTCTCCAACTCATCTCCATCATACGGAAACGTGTCCATAACTGCATCGTATTGTTCTTGATTTTCCACCTAAAAATTAAGTTTTTTATAATACATACAAAATTTATTTGTAAAAGCCAAGTCAGTCCGTAACAATTTTCGCCGGAAATTTCAAGGTTTGTAGGATAAAAATTAAAAAATTCTTAACTAAGACGGTTTTTGGGTTTCATTTGAGTTTAAGGTCAAAAAAATTAATTTATTTTACCTCAATAGGTCTGAATGTGGCGTTATCCAGTATATCGCGGAAGACGGCAACCCATCGCTGCATCAGCACTTCGGTGTAATGCTCTGCCATCTCTTGCAGCAACTGCGGGAGGGGCTCGGTCGGTAGTCCGTAGCATCTGGACCGCAAAAATTAACATCGTGAGGAAAAGGAATTTTGAACTAATAATCGGCATGTCGGCTCTAAATAAAGTACAATTTTGAAAAATTTAATTTATTATATCTGATATATATTAATATTCTCGAAATTATCAGTTTCCAAGAAATTTCGGGACGAACATACATATACTAAAGCACACATTGGAACCTTAAACCATGACTCCAATATTATCCTACTGACTTGATTAAAAACAGAATTCAAAAAAACATGTAATAAGTACTATTTTAATTATTGTATGTACAATCAAGAGTAAATATTATATAATATACAAAGACGGTAGGGGTTTATATCACTTACATATATTTGTGTCAAAACTTAATACAATTTTTAAAACAAACCAAAGAGATCGTACGAACAAGTGACATTTTTTTATTTCTAAAAAGACAAATATTTCCCAGCTAGAAACAGGTTTCACTGGAAAATTCAACTGTCACTTTTTGGTTTTTTCTTTACTTATTATTCATGTTTCCCACCGTTTAAACCTTCCCTGAACTTCCACAAATATTTCACAATCATAATTATCCAAATCGGTCCGGCCATTCTCGAGTTTTAGCGAGACAAACGAACAGCAATTAATTTTCATATATTAAATTCATATTTATCAAGCTTTCGTCCACTTACAGCAGCTTTAAGATCCTAACTTGCCCAACTTAATAATGTATATATATACGTAAAATGTAAATATAATATTTTGGTTAATTATCACATATAATGTATGTCAATAAATAACTATTTTACACTTACTTGAGAGCATTAATAAACAGCACGATCTGATGCTTGATACTGAGCATCAAAGTCGGGTCCGTGACAAGCGCGGTGTGCGTACGCAACGTGCCCGCTGCCGCCGAACGAGCGGACCCCCACGTCTCTCCCAACCAATCAGAGGATACCAGACCAGCGCCTTGAAATATTTTAAGTTTTATTTAAAAACAAAGAATTTTTATGAAACTTGTCTGTTCCCTAAGTTGGAATATAACTTAAATGAATTTTATCATCTCGAAAAGAATCCTATCCGGAATCAAATCCGGCTCGAAGGACCATTTAGGCTGTATACATTAGCGGTCTACATCAGTGTGATAAACATATGAATAAACTCGAATCATGCTAAGACTGTGTAGTTCTCTCAATATAAAGATCTACAATTCATATTATAAGGGAATATACAACATGTTTTACGAAGCATTATCACTTCAGCCACTTCCTTGAAAAATGGACAACACAAAAAAAATAGCAGGCATTTTGTTCTCTTGTTCATATATATAAAAACTATATTTCCAATCAAAAACTTCAGTCCATACCTGTAGTAAGAAGATGTTCTTCCAGAATAAAGAAACCAAGTACAGCATTGAGGTAACTTTTCATACTCTGTATAGAGTCATGAAGGTTTCCAGCTGCTGGAATCACTACTAGACGAGCTTGCTGTCTACGTTGTGACCTGCAAAATACATCTAGGTTCTCTTACAGGTGAAACAATGCGGGAAAACAGCATATATTCAAGGAACTTTTTTAAATATTTACTAATCATAGCTTTATCTACCTAAAATCCACAAATAAATCTTAATTTATTATACATAATAAGTAAGCAAGTTCTAGTTAAAAATTTGGATATGTCTTACCGATAGTACTGAACGAAGTCATGCTTAGCACCCAGCACTGTATGAATGTGTAGACATCGGTACAGTGGACTGAAATCTACCAATTCGTGTGGACTTTGGGGAGTAGTAGTCTCTACACTGGATGGACCCAGTGTTGCCATATCTGAGAAAAAACATGCAATAAATATATAATAAAGTTTTAATTATAACAATTTGAAAATTTCCGAAAATTACCTTTCTTATTTTTAATAATATTTTCCAAACTTCGTCCCAGCATTTCTTGAGTTTGCTTTAAAGCCACAGCTCCAACCTGGAGCATTAAAAGTAACTTTTTTATAATCATTTCAAATAAAGCATTATTTCACCCAAAAATCTTGTCATTGACAAATACCTTAACAAGCCTAAGTAAAGTCGCTATTAGAATATAATAAATAATCTTGTTTAAGTCCTTATGGTTAAGTAAATGAACACAAAAAAAACCAGTGATGCTACAAACTTTTTAGGTCTGGGACTCAGATTTCTGTATCTATTTCATTATCATTTGTCAAACTAATAAAGTAAGGCAAGCCAGTTTCCTCACGATGTTTTCCTTCTCCGTTCGAGCGAATGTTATATGCGCACATAGACAGCAAGTCCATTGGTGCCCAGCCGGGGATCGAACCTACAATGATGAGAGGCGCACGCTGAAACCACTAGGCCAACACTGCTGCTACACAACTCTTGCACACTAGAAAATAAATTAGACCGTAGGACAAGTTTCATATTCACAATTGTATTTTTGAATTAGAAATTATTAAAAAACAATGTGTCACAAACAGTACTTAAATTTGATTTATTAAATAACCCATATTTTTTTAATGGTATTGCAGGTATACAAATGGGCCACGAAAGATAAGTGCTTACCGTCTATGGACACCTGCAACACCAGGTTTGCTTAAGATAGTGGTATGTTTTTCTCTTGAAAGCGCCTAAGTATTCATTTAAAGTGTATTTGCATAAATTTAGTAACTACTTTACTAATCTGTAATAGCACAATACCTGAGGACTTAGTCGTCGAATGTTTTCAAGGAAGTCTCTCAGATCAGCCATAGAAGCATCTTGTATAGCTTGTCGGAGTTTGGGTATATCTGAAGATATGTGTGAACACCAGGCATATGGCCCTACACGCGGTAATAACACATGCTCAAGTTGTTCAAGAGTTTTCAGTGCTGGATAATATCTGTTAAGAAATAATAACTTTAGATAACTTGAAAACTGTACTGGTAACGCTAAATCTTTGATAAAATTTTAATTTAAACTATTCCGTTCCGAAATTTATTTCTAAAATTCCATCACATTACAGCTCTTCCTTTCTGGACTAATATTATAGTATATTACATAGACCCTCTGTAGATAGTTTATGGAATTCACTTCCTGTCTCTACCCTCTAACTACAACTGTCTACTTTTTCATTTCTACTGTCAGCTAGATGTCCATCCATCAAGGCTGTGTTAACTCATCAATATATTCCCTTGTATTGAAAACTTATTCTATCTATGTATTAAGATAAACCCTAAAACTCTCCAGTATTTAAGAAATACATTGTCATTGTATGTCATGCGAGAGCTGCTAATTATAAATACCTTTTAGCTTCAACTTGTGACTTGAGCTTCGAATAAGTGGTAAGCAAAGGTAAACACAGTTCCATCTTTTCAATGGTAGATGCTATATTTAACTCAACACGCCGGGCTCTTATCAGTTCCTCAGATCTTACACACAATCCTTAAATTGTTAAAAAAAAGATTTTCATTCATTATTTTAAACTAAACCATTTTTGTAAGTATAAAAAAATTTAGTGTATTATCTCCCCCAAAATACTTCTAAGCCTGTTATAAAAATTATATATAAATGCAGCACTAAGTCTGTCATACAACTCATAACACACCTTTAATTTATTTTACAAGTTAAGTAAGATTTTATAAAATTTGCTGTCTTATTGAACAAATTAAAAAAAATACAAGAAGCTAATAAGGCCGGCAAGTTTGTGAGAGCCCTTGGACAGTGTAAATGTGCCAAAAAGTACATAGCCTTAGCAAAACTACTAACCATCAGTAGTCTCCTTAACATTGGCATCAACATTAGATATCTCTGCATGAAGCTCTTCAGCGTGAGATCTAACTTCCAGCAGCTCACGGATGGACTCTATGAAACCCTATAAAATAATAAAATTATATCAATTATTTTTATATTTATCTATCTACTAATTTAGGAAATATCTATATTTATAAGTACAATGTCTTTTATTTGAGTTTTAATCTTTAATAGACAAGAGGATATAGTATATATTTTAAGAATGGTATTACATAAAAGTTTTTTTTACTCTGATATATATAGTCTTACTTGATAGTAGAAGTTGCAAAGCTTTTCAATTTCTTTATCATGCTGCTTAATTCTTTCATCCAACTGTTGGAGAAAAGCTTCATGACCACCTTCTCCCTCATACACCGATCTGAATGCTGGACCCCAATAGTCATCAATACCCTCTATTTCCTAAAATAAGTGGAAATAAAGTTAAAAACAGTTAAATTGTTAAGTGACACCAAGAATTGCACACTACATAACTAGGATAGTTTTTGATGCATATGAATTATATTCTACAAGTAGCAGCACTTAAATGTGGCCAGTTCTATAGTGAGTTAAATGTCTACCTTTGCTATTGGGTTTTGTAAATTCCACTAAATTGTTCACTTGTTTCACTTATAGGCCTGCTAAAATCATGCTGATATGTTTAATTATCACACAACCAACGATTTGTCAGTGGTTTTCTTTAGCTGCTTAACACAACTGTAACTAAGAGTTTCCTACTATAGAATTACTTACCTGAATAGTAGCGTTGGTCATATTAGATGGATTGTTTTAAAACTAAAACTTTTCTAGCAAACAGTGTATTTTGAAATTTGGTCTATTATAATTTGGACGTATATAATGTATGTTGACGTCTTAATTGCGCTTCAACTTTTAAACGGTGTACTGTTTCGATTACATATATTATATTTATATTAATAAGAAATTGTAATTTTCATGTAATCCATACTATGTATTTTGATCATTTTCATTTCAATTTTTTTTACTAAATCACAGGACACAGACTAGGAAATGGGCAATTGCTAACCGAAATGGGTCCCCGTAACAAGTCGGAAAATGCATATATTATCTATATATTGCTGTTCCTTTTAGTCGATTAGGTACAATACTTTTTAAATAATTGAAATCGGCAAATTGGTTGCGAAGATATTACACATTTTGTACAAGCCAACCGTGGGGCGGCCGAAATGCTCATGTGACGTCACGATTTCCTACCGCCCGCGCGCTCGCTCTCCGCCATTCATTTATTAAAGTTTACTCGATCTGCGCGGGTCGTGTTGTGGTTTTGTTTTTTTTATGTGAAGATATGCCGCATTATAAATACTGTATAGTACTGAAAAACTGTTTTTTAATGTGCCAAGGGACCTGAAAGTGCGCAAAAAATGGTGTACTAAAGTAAATATAAAACATTTTTATCTTCTATAATGCGTTTATTGTAATCCCTATTAGAAAGTCTACAAAAAGAAATTATGTCTCAATTAGTTTGGGGAATATATAATATATTACTTCCAAAATGTTGTTGCCTTTACAAGAAGATTCATACAGTATTCGTTATCATATTCCACTACCAGTATGTCCACTTTTTTATTGTTTTCAAAATCTACATCTGCTACACAAAATAATCCTTTGTTTCTGTTACAAAAAAACATTTGCAACTGTATTATTTTGTGCTTTTGATTTCTTCGTCAAATCATTATTTTTTACAAAACTTTCTTTTCCTTTTTTAGTCATTGGACATTTTATCTCTACTACCTAGGATTGGCCACTCGGGTTTTAAAAATAGACCACAATTGACTATTACTGTGTTAGTTTAGCCACCACTGCTCTTACTTCTGGCTCCAGACGTTTTCCTCTTTCCATAGCGACTGTCTCCTGTATGGATGCCCCGAAAATCTGTTCAACTAAAATACCATCAGTCTTGCAGTTTGCAGCTTCGTGAATTTTTGACGCCGTTACTCTGCAGTATCTTAGTTCCCTCCACAATGGTGAATCAGCTTGCGATAATGTTGCTTCTTCTGCTTTGCTACAGTCATCTATAGTCATTCGATTTGAGCAGAAGTCAATAAAATGAGCTGCATCGTTTATATCTATACCCTCTTTTCTAAACTCACTTATTAATACATGTAATGACATTTTTTTAACGCGCTTTGTGGTACGCAATAGGCTGCCAGCTGGTTATGAATAGATTTTTCTTGTACTGTTTTTTTTACAGCTTCTACAAATTGACCTTTGACATAACTGTCATCTTGATTTTTTGGTGTGCCTGATCCCATATCTTTAGCCTTTATAAATTTTAAAGTGGTGCCCACCGTAGCTAATTTAGGCTTAGCCCAATAACATTTTTTTTCTGTTGGGGATGGTTCCTCGCTTCGTCTGTGAAGCCACTGTTTTGCTTTGACTGTGCATGTATCTCCTGTTCTTTGCACTTGAACAAATCCCACAGCTTCATCACCATATGATTCACGCCCTGACCTGAAAAAAAAATATCGTAAGCGTTTAGAATACGTATACATTAGCGATCTCATTAGGATTGCTTGTTCAAACAATCGAAGGTAAACGAATAAAGTATACCTAAAGTAACGAATAAAGTTGACGTTTAAGTGACGTTACGCTCCGTGTTGGACGAGTATCGCGAATAGAATAAACAGCGCGGGGCGCGCTGTGGATCGGCGGCAAGCGTTGAGATATTGTGACGTCATCGCTTGCATTCGCTCGGTCAGTAAACCTTGTTCGGTATTTTGCCCATAACTTTGTCAGTTTTGGTCGTAGAACAAAAATTTTTGCACTTTATGTTTTAGTTTCTCAAGGACTATAAAACTGCATTATAACATAAAACTATTACGGGTCCCCATTAGACTTAGGAGCACCACGATAAGAAAGAAGATTAAAGAGAGTCTATAAGTCTATACTTAGCACATTGTCACACAGGACACACACTATTTTGGCCGGGGCCACAGATTAAGACATTTATTTATCCATTTGGTAGAGATAGACACTGTCACACTGATATGATTGAGAAATATCTCAGAACTCAGAAGAAAATTTTGCTATTTTGTTTAGAAAAAATATTAAGAAACCTTCTTTTTCAGGCTTTAGTCAGCGAACGTCAGATTTAGCGGGAAACTCAGAATTGACACTGAATAATGAATATTATCCATGAAGGAAGGAATGACAACTGACGACTGACCGTATACGTCTATCACGGGGCACGGGCAGAATGCCAAAATTAATCTAATTTTTAGTCAAAAGTGGTGGTCGTGTTAGTGAGGTGTAACTAAAAAAATATTATTATTTTGTTTAAAGAGGAAAGAAAAACAATTAAAAATCGATGCCATCTACGTTTATGTAAATTTTAAGTGAAAAAAGTTATTAACAAAAATACTAAAAAGTCCGGCAACCATGGCACACTGTATGAGAGTTTTGCATGGCCAGGTAAGGTTTAATTATTTAATACACATCCCCACAGTATTAATCGCTTTTAATGAAAACCTTAAAACCAGCACAAGTTAGGTTTATCACTTTGTTTACTATTCTATCACTCTGTGCAATTAATATAGATAACTCTGAATGAAGGGGTCAGTTTGGGTCACTCTTGCTGTAATTGGTATCGTTTTATCATTAATTGCTCATCTTTATCCGGTTTACACTGGTCAGGGTAGGAGGGAGTATTTAGCTAAATTATCTTTTCAGGGAAGCAGGACGAGAGCTGTCCTCTTGGAAATTCAGCAGCGATGCTTCAGCGTGTCCCCATTGACGGCTGCGGCAGCCCAGGTATACCTAATCTTGAGCAAAAGTCAGTTATACAAGATTTTATAGATACAATGACACTGTTATGTAATCACTATGTATTTGAAAATTGAGCTCGGATGTGGTACTATAATGGCTCTGAATTGTCTAATGATCGATTTTAGGTTGCTATGTCCCGATTCGACAAGGCCCCATTACCTTACGAAAAATTAACGAAAAATTTGGAGGTGGTTAAGAAGAGGTTAGGTCGTGACTTGACCCTGTCGGAAAAAGTTTTGTACTCACATCTTGATGACCCAAAAGGACAGGTTAGTGATATGGGTATTCCACTCTTATGATGTATAATAATATTATTAAAGGAATCTAACCTAAAAAATTAAATTAATTACATAAAATAATGTCTGAAATGAAGATTGATAATCAAATTCTTCCTCTTTATGCTCTTCTTTTATATAAAAAAATATTTTGTGGGAATTATTCTGTTGTTATAATAGTTGGTAACTAAATTTGACTTTAACAGGATATCGAAAGAGGTACCAGCTACCTCCGATTACGCCCTGACCGTGTGGCTATGCAAGATGCCACAGCCCAGATGGCTATGCTGCAATTTATCTCATCTGGTCTGCCAACAGTGGCTGTGCCTTCTACTATTCACTGTGATCACTTGATTGAGGCCCAGACTGGTGGTACCGAAGATTTGGCTAGGGCAAAGGTAAATAGAAGTATAATAGAACACCTTACCTACCTGTTATTCCTTCTCGAGATATTTTATATTTCTATAAAAGCTTTTGTGAATGACAATACAAAAGTAAATACAACCCAAAAGTCTTGTGCTGTTACAAGTATAGTAACAAAAATACTTTTTTTACACTATATTTTCTTGACATGAATAGAATTTTTTGTTATACATATGTATTAACTTGCAACACTTTGTCTCATTATTTATATTAACTAACAAAAAATGTAAATTGATTTTGGACATTATTGTTAATCTTTTAGGACATCAACAAGGAAGTTTACAAATTTTTAGAAACCGCTGGAGCAAAATATGGAGTAGGATTCTGGAAGCCAGGCTCTGGTATTATCCATCAAATTATTCTGGAGAACTACGCTTTCCCTGGTCTTCTCATGATTGGTACCGACTCACACACACCAAATGGAGGTGGATTAGGAGGACTGTGCATTGGTAATTCACAAATTTATTATAAGTAATAAAACAGCCATAAAATTATCTATTTAAGCTGATAGCTTAATTAATTTATTACTATGCCAATGAATATTAAGATGTGATTGGTAATTGTAAAACTAATATTGTAGATTGTTAAACAAGTCATGTGCATAAGTATGAATATGGATGCAACGCAGCTCTTTTTTGTCAGTTTCATCTTTAAACATCCTTAGTTTGGCAATTAACTGTAATAAAGTCTTAATTAACACCTGCCTATATACAAAAAAATAATGCTAACTTCATAGAATAAAACATGTTGCTACACTTATAATATATTCATTATTTTATGTTACTTTATTACTTACTATTATAATGTTCCGAAGAAATACTACTGTATTTCACATTATGGCATTTCCAAAATGGTAACTGTACTATGATTGCTGATATATTTTATTATAGGCAATATTCTCAATGAAAAATTATTCCAGGTGTTGGTGGTGCTGACGCGGTAGATGTTATGGCTGACATTCCTTGGGAGCTCAAGTGCCCTAAAGTTATTGGAGTCAAGCTTACTGGTTAGTTTATTTTATTTTCTAAGTAAGTTATCTTACTTACCAAGTTATATGAAACAGTTTAAAAAAACTAAAAATACTTAATTTGATACTGTGTTATAAGATATAGTTTTGGGATTAGTTGGTGAGGTACATAATAAAATATGTCCCATGCCCCATTGGAAATTCATAGGGAATTTTATATAACAAGTTTATCTCATAAAATCTGCAAAAACAAAATTCATATGGGCAGTTCCGATTGTGTTAAAATCACTTTCCCTTTCTAGATGCTCCATAGAATGTTTGTGCAGGTGACATATTGCGTATCTTTTTTATTCTATCTATAAATAAGACAAGTGTGGCCGAGAGCCAGGCATTCAATGTCATGCTCTATTTACTATACATTTTATACACTATATTCTAGTATTAGAACATAGCACAATCACTTGCAAGATAGTTTTATTATTACTTTTAATTCTCATAGCTTTATTGCGTTCTATTAAAGACTTGTCTATGTCGTAGACCATCGTGTTTCTTAAACAGGGGGTCGGGCCCTTGCGGGGGAGGGGGGGGGAGGTCGCAGTTTTACAGTGACGGGGTCGCTGTTTTACTTAAATTAACGCGACATAAAAATGGTTGAGAAACGATGTCTTAGATATACCGTTGACCATCCAATCATAACTTGATTCCTTAAAATATAATTCAAAACGAAATACCTAGTGGTATCAATGAGTAATGCGGAGATTTAGATTCTATAAATTACTATCATTGCCCGCGTGATTTCATTTTAATAGAAGACTGTTTAGTGTGGATTGAACTATGTTTATACTGTGTAAAATATTGCTTAAGTACGCTGGAGTAAGACCAAATGTTCTTTTCGAATACATATAAAAGTTACGTGTTAAATGTGTTAAACATTTTGTTTACTCATACGAATATTAACATGAGTTTAGAGAAATATTTAAATTCTGTTCAAAGTTTACTTCGGACATGTTTACGCACACTTGCACTTAGTTTGTGCAATACTATATACATACTGATCCGGCAAACGTCGTTTTTCCATATATCATTTAAAATAAAAATAGGGGTTGATCGTAGAGGGGTGAAAATTAGGGGTTGTATGTATTTTTTATGCTGTATCATAAAACACTTCGGGGGATGAAAAATAGATGTTGTCCAATTCTCAGACATACCCAATATGCACACAAAATTTCATGAGAATTGGTCAAACACCGCGACACGAGAATTTTATATATTAGTCGTAAATAAAAGCACGTAGCAATTGTTTTTTCTTTTTACAATAACAATCCAACGCGTTTACGTAAGAAACCCACATTTTGAAAAATCTCACGTGAGATTGGCGGATGGGGTTGAATAAAATCTCACCATGGGGGAGGGAGGTACAGAAAATATAAAAAAACACCTCACGTAGTTTATGGACGCCCCCCTAATATGCTATATTATATAATAATTTGCTACAAAGATAAACAATGAATAATGTTTACATAATTTAGATAAAACTAAAACTAACGTATAATACTGCGACTGTTATCAATTGATAAAGTTCAATGATAGTGATGCCGCAGCATTCTGAAGTTCAAAACGGTTCCAAATATTGCTAATCTTCTAATATCTTTTTTTTATAAAACAGGGGACAAACGGGACACTTACATTGCCAGAAGGCTCGCAAGTGCGTTGCCGGCCTTTTAAGAATTGGTACGCTCTTTTGAACGACCACGAAGTCAACATTATCAATTATCAGATATACTCTCTTGATATTAACAATTATTAGACATTGATTTGGGGTGTTTCCTGTCTAACAGTAGATTTTAAAAAGCATATGAACACCTGCAATTTCATAATGATAACATAATATTATCTGTGCGATATTTATGTAAAACAAACAAGACGTATAAAGTGATAAAATGGCACTTGCGCAATTACGTATCGCGTTTCGCCTTTACGAGGACAATTGGGTACAATTTGATACAAGGAGATATTTGATAACAGTACGGGATCGTGATACTCCTATTCTTAAGTTTTAAAGCGAATGGGTTTATTACATAACAGGAACGGTTTTATTTTCCCTTTTCACCTATTTGGTTTCTTTCTTATTTCTTTTTAAAAGAGGTTCAAGATTTAAATCCTGGCATAAAAAATAACTTAGAAGAAGTTTACTACGCTACTAAATATTGCTATAATGTATGGTGATAAAAACGCATGGAATTTTTTTTAGGTTTATTTATATTATTTATTTAAAATGTAACCCATTTCTAAATAATGGTAAATTCACAAACTGATAAATACTACTTTATTTGGGTTTCACAAAACGCGTGACCCTCACGAATTGTTTCAGCGCGTTTACCTCATGACTTGTGTTAATTTGTTCAAAAATAATTCTATATCGTATTATATAAACAAAATAAACATCTTTTTTTATAAAAGTAAAGTACGAATGAACGAAAATGTACGTATTTTATAAATTTCGATTTTAAATTGATTGGAACACATCCTGCTAATTGTCAACGGTCTTCAATCCCGTGGTAATTGCAACGTCCCTCGCAAGGGGTGTGCTTAGACTCGCCCGGAGCTGTAACCCCTTGCGGTGGTCTGTCGGGTCGAACCCTGCTGATACAGGGTGGTACTCGGGCAACTTAATAGCATTCGATTAGACAAGGGCTTTACTCGCAGCACGCAGCCGAAGTCGTGGTTATTTTGTGATGTGGACTGAGGTCCTAAGGTTTATGCCTTTAATGGTTCAGAAGAAGAGCTTATAACATAACATCAAATTAGGAGACGTGGGGTTGCGTTTCTGGACTAATAAAAAACTGTTACTTGAGATATTTATCGGTTCTTAAATCTAACTTTATTACCTATAGCAAATATAAGTGATGTCATATTTTACACTCCTAGGAAGGGGAATGTTATCTAATTTATGCCTCTATGAAAAACTAAATATGTATGTAAATTTACTAAGCCTAGGTTACATAACTCATGCGACACACCTTTGCTATGTTTATATTACGATTTATGTAATGTATTAATATATAATAATTCAAAGACGACGTCACAGATTCAACAAATACTTTGCTAATTGTATTTCTTAACTAAGTGAATTTTCTATGAAGTCTGCCTGTATATTAGGTGTTAGTTGTATTTTTTTTTTAATTTCTATTTGATTTTTTTTGAGAAACTTATGCTTGCGTTGATTGTCGCACATTTTGGATGTAAGATTTTGTAAAATAATTGGTAGATTTAGGACTGTGTGTGATGTCGTGGGCTTGATAACTAAATAAATAAATAAGATATACCATAACATCCGAGCAAGTGTAAATTGCGCACATAGAAAATAGACGTACGCGGCCGAGGTCGAACGTATGACCCCAAGGTCGAGTCTCGCTTAAACAATTGCTCTAACACTGCTAATATTAAAAAAAAATATCTAGAATATTCTAGAATTCTACATATGCATTTATTTTTTCTAAACATATTACACGTTTCTTTAGATAAAAAATCATATTTAGCTCTGGTATTGAATTCACAGTAAAAATCTTTATGATAACGTAATCAGAGATCTATTGCTGAGATAACGTGCATATTTTGTCCCTTGACCTCTAGTTAATATATTTTTACGCCTATTACTTTATTTCAAACTGCAAGTACTGAGCAATACGGATCTACCCTTTGTTTATTTCTTAAAGATCAACAAGTTAATATATTTTTACGCCTATTACTTTATTTCAAACTGCAAGTACTGAGCAATACGGATCTACCCTTTGTTTATTTCTTAAAGATCAACAAGTTAATATATTTTTACGCCTATTACTTTATTTCAAACTGCAAGTACTGAGCAATACGGATCTACCCTTTGTTTATTTCTTAAAGATCAACAAGTTAATATATTTTTACGCCTATTACTTTATTTCAAACTGCAAGTACTGAGCAATACGGATCTACCCTTTGTTTATTTCTTAGAGATCAACAAGTTAATATATTTTTACGCCTATTACTTTATTTCAAACTGCAAGTACTGAGCAATACGGATCTACCCTTTGTTTATTTCTTAAAGATCAACAAGTTAATATATTTTTACGCCTATTACTTTATTTCAAACTGCAAGTACTGAGCAATACGGATCTACCCTTTGTTTATTTCTTAAAGATCAACAAGTTAATATATTTTTACGCCTATTACTTTATTTCAAACTGCAAGTACTGAGCAATACGGATCTACCCTTTGTTTATTTCTTAAAGATCAACAAGTTAATATATTTTTACGCCTATTACTTTATTTCAAACTGCAAGTACTGAGCAATACGGATCTACCCTTTGTTTATTTCTTAAAGATCAACACATCATACATAATGCTTTGTATACAGTATATGTTACAAGCTATCTTTACTAAAATATATGACAATAATTATGGTGAACAAAAATGTTACAAAAAAAAATAAAAAAAATAAAAATACAATTAAATTACTAGTAATTGTTTGCTTATTGTTAAGCAAACTCTTATCACCAGTAAATTTGGCTTCACAATAAGTCTAGTTCAAATAGAATTCCTCTTCCTTCCTTTTAGGTAAGCTGTCAGGCTGGACATCCCCCAAAGATGTGATTCTGAAGGTCGCCGGCATCCTCACAGTAAAGGGAGGCACTGGAGCCATCGTGGAGTACCATGGACCTGGCGTTGACTCCATCTCTTGTACGGGAATGGCCACAATTTGTAACATGGGTGCTGAGATCGGAGCTACTACTAGTGTGAGTATAAATACGTTTGTACGAACTTTGGTTAACCAGTTTAAATTATTTAACAATTTTGACCAGGACCGATACTTCAAAATAAAAAACCTCTTAATATTTTATTGTGTCCTGGTACTTGATCATATGAGAAACAGTTATAGCGAAAGCATTAAAACATCGGATTCCTTTATACAAGGGTTAAAACCAGAATAACTCACGAATTCAGAATGTCTGGATGATAAGTTAAGCAAAAACATTTTTTTTTTAATTTTCCTGAGATATCATTTGTTTTATTGGCCTTAGATTACAGTGAGACGGAGAAATTTGTTAGTTTCCTCTGCACGCTTTGCACGTTGGAACGATGACGCTGTGGTCTCCTACAGCGACGCGGATCGGCTGCCTTATTGACTGGCCTGGGCCTTGGCCCTCTCCACCTTTTCGGTGACGGCCCATGACGACTTCGCAGAATCTCTGGAGGTTTTCCCATGTGCCGTCACTGGCCGTGTTTGTAACTGCTACTCTCACAATTTGCCCTTGGCGGGATGCGGTAACAGCACAGCCTTATCGACTTCCTGGTACACGATACGACGGTTGCGTGCGCTCAAGGGTCTGTCCTTCTCTACCGTAACACAGTATTTAAGCCAGTGCGAAGGGAGGATCGTCACCTTATTAATATTCGTATGATGACTTAGCAAAAAAATGAACCGTTATCTATATGCAAATAAGTTTTTTTTGTCATTAATAGTTTTTTTTTTAAATTAGACAAATTACAATACGTTTTTGACGTGCGAGTGTCGTACTAATTACCTAAGTCCTGACTCTGAGTCGTACCTTATGTATATAAGTATAACCATAATTTTACGATTTGCAGGTATTCCCATACAACTCTCGTATGGAGGCGTATCTTAAGTCGACAGGACGCGAAGGCGTGGCAAGCGCCGCTAACTCCTTCAAACATCTCCTCACACCTGACCCCAAGGCACCATACGATGAGGTAATATAACATCAATAATAATTAAGGGAAGTCTTCCACGCTCCGCTTCACAAGATTTTCTTTTGCGAACTAACGAACTATGAAATCGACTCCCGGTCTTCCCTGAAAGGTACGGTAGATACCTCTAACTGTTTAAAAAAAGCATAGTGCCTCAAAGGCTGGCAACGCACCGACTAAAATGGACTGCGATGACTGTCCGTTTTCCGCGTCCCGTACGCTCCTTTGGCCCCTATTGCTATAAAAAAACTGAGTTCTGGAGGTTTTAAAATAGAATTAGTGTACTACGAGACTGGTCTGGCGAGTTTAGCGTGGAATGGAATATCGTAAAATGGCAGCAATGAGTTCTTTTATCAAAACATTTTATGTAGCCTACATAGACTCTACTATTGAAATATCGATCTGTAATAGACCACGCCAATTACAAACCATATATATATATATATATATATATATACTAGCAGACCGGCCAAGCGTTGCTGTGGCTAAGGTTTTTGTTATATTATACCTATAGTAGTAAACTATTCAAGGGAAACGGTAGGAGAATACCACCATGCTTTTTTGGTGGTAATGCTATTAAATTGTAGCTTATGTGAAACGTTGGTACTTTCAACACAGCGCCATCTGTTAGAATTGTGACTATCAAATAATTTGCAATAAAATAATATTGCGGGTATAAATTGAGATGTAAGCTATCCTATCTTTTAAGTTAGATCAAAGCGCACACGGTGTGCAAATTTGATTGAAATGGGTTCAGTAGCATAATATCATTAAACTAAATTATTTTTGCTTAAGAAAATAATAGCTTAACAGAGGCTCACATACATTCTCTACATTTTATAGTCTATTGGACTTTTTTTTATATTTCTATTACATAAAGAAAGTAGTTGTATTGTTTAATATTAAAATTTTAGACTATTTCCTTATACAAACTTATGCTGGTTTTCGGAAGAGTCGCCAATTATTTTAGTAAGAAAACTGTGCGGAATCTCACTGATCAATATTTTTAGCTGATCGAAATTAACCTGTCCACTCTGGAGCCACACGTGAATGGACCGTTCACACCTGACCTCGCAAATCCAATCTCGAAGTTAGGAGAAGCAGCTAAGAAGAACGACTGGCCAGTAGACATCCGTGTTGGTCTTATTGGGTCATGCACCAACTCTTCTTATGAGGATATGGGGCGTTGTGCCAGTATTGTTAAGGAGGTAAGTCTTACATATATAAAATAGAAAAAATATGGATTGTCAAATGAAATGAAAATCAGTGGCGCTACAACGCCTTTAGGACTGGGCCTCAGATGGCTGTATCTGCTTCATGATCATTTGTCAATCTGATAGGCAAGTAGATGATCAGCCTCCTGTGCCTGACACACGCCATCGACTTTTTGGGTCTAAGGTTTCCTGAAGATTTTTTAAGAGAGTCCATCGGTGCACAGCCGGGGATCGAATCTACGGCCTCAGGGATGACAGTCGCACGCTGAAGCGACTAGGCCAACTTTCAGCTGCTGCTAAGCTACCATCATGTAAAATTTTTGTTCAAAGAAAAACATGAACTTTCACATTTCATTAATTTATAGAAGTTTGTCTTTGTCAAGATATGTAGGTATTTAAGAATGAAAAATGCTTAAAATTAAAAAAAACAGGACCGTGGTTATTTTCATTAAAAAAATAGAACCGTTTAGTTCTAGGCCTCAGATTTATGTATGTTGTTTCATGTGGTTTTTTATGAATAAGCAAATAGGTGATCAGGCTTCCGTGTCTTATTTTATTATATTAAACCAATTCGACTTAGGGTCCTTCAAAAAGGGCGTACCAATTGTTAAAAGACCCGTAACCTCGTGCCCTCTGGCATTGAGTGTCTCCATAGAAGATCACTTACCATCAAGTGAGTTTCCTGTCCGTTTGCCCCCTGTTCTATAAAATGAAGAAGAAAAAATAAGTTTTATATTCGCAGATCGCACAATTCTAGATTGTGCGTACTCGCTATCTCTTTCGCACATTGCTCTGTCCTTGTCGTACGGTGTTCTAGAGTGCTCGGTCTAGCTTCGAGAAGGTTCCGATCTTCCTCTCTCTCTCTCTCTCGCATCATACCGTCCTTGTCCCACACCTAGATAATTCGGTCTAGAAATATTCCAGTCGACCCGTCTTCATAACAATATTAACATTATCTTTAAACGTTCCTTATATTACTTACAGGCGATAGGTCACGGTCTCAAATCTAAAATTCCGTTCAACGTGACTCCTGGATCAGAACAAGTCCGCGCTACAATTGAACGAGATGGCATTGCGCAGACGCTCAGAGACTTCGGAGGCACTGTAAGTATTTTCTTGATTCACGTTTTTATAATAAATAATTTTATTATTAAATAAAATTCTGGCAACTCACTTGCGAGACTTGGCAGTTTAGTAAAACATCAAATTAGCTTTCTGAAATATAATATGATTATTAATAAGAATAATATTTAAAAAAAACTTTTAAATTTACAAAAAATGGAGTAAGTTATAAATCAAAGTCGTAATTAAACTTACTGAAACATTTTAAATATAATATAATAAAATCGTATTGGTGCAATTTAAGAATGATAAAAATCACATTTGTCGTTTGTACGCATGGTTCGTCATAGGGACTGGTGCGACGCCGTCTTTTATTGAAATTATGAACGTTCTATTTGTTTAGCCAATATTTAACAGAATTATAAAAAAAAATAGGTTCTATAGTCACTAATATAAAAAAGAGCGTACCAATTAAAAGGCCGGCAACGCACTCGAGAGCCTTCTGGCATTGAAAGTATCCACGGACGTGGTTCATTTAAAAAAAATCTCGTCAAATAGCATATTGGAACTTAAATAACCCTATAACAGGTGTTGGCCAACGCGTGTGGGCCCTGCATCGGTCAATGGGACCGTAAAGACGTGAAGAAGGGCGAAAAGAACACAATAGTGACGTCATACAACCGTAACTTCACCGGACGTAATGACGCCAATCCCGCCACGCATTGCTTCGTCACCAGCCCCGAACTGGTCACAGCACTGTCCATTGCAGGTATTTCAGAATTAATATACATAAGTAATTCCACGTGAGAAGAGAGTGAGTTCCTGGTGAGATGATTGAGTGCACGTTAGTCTTAAGCGGTAAATCCTAAAAAAAATTACACAAGAACAGAATGTCTTAATAGACTGTAAGTAGTATTGGACATTTATGTTAAATATTCGTAGTAAATCATCTTATATTAAGAATATATATTATACTAGTGGACCCCACAGACGTTGTCCTGCATGATATTTAAAGCGATTAGGATATTAAGCAAAGTATGAAAGTACCGACTGCAGTGCCATCTGCCGGGCTGATTTGTGAATCTAAACCATTCCCAGATCCCCTTGAACACACACAAAAAATTTCATCAAAATCGGTCCAGTCGTTTGAGAGGAGTTCAGTCACATACACACGCACCGAAGAAATATATATATTAAGATATATATATACTGGCGGATCTGACAGACATTGTCCTGTACACACGTCTTACGTACAAAAAAAATATATCGAATTATGTTAATAATTCTCGACTCCACTTGAACACAAAAAATTTCATCAGAATCTGTCCAGCCGTTTTGAAGTTTAATTAAGAACACATGCACAGAAGATATATATATACCAACTGCAGCGCCATCTGCCGGGTTGATTTGTGAATCTAAAGTTCATTCAAATTGGTCCATACACACGTACAGTAGAATTATATAATATATAAAGATATGATAATATACAGTGGTACCTCGATAAACGAGTGTTTTGAGATATGAATCACACACTACACTTAAAGTTTCTCCCACCTCAGCCTAGACCTCAGTCTGTTCGCTTGTTTCTCTTGTTTTCGAAGCATTTTTGATAAGTTGGGCATGGCTCCGAAGAATAAGATGTCTATTGAATTAAAGCGCGAAATGATTTTCTTATTTTGAAACACCCCGGAATGGAAACGAGAACGAAATGACTCGGAGGCTGTGGCCAAAGGCTAAACTCGAAATTTTTTAGGTCGTCTCGATTTCAACCCAGTAACGGATGAGCTAACAGGAAAAGATGGCAAAAAATTCCGTCTGTCTGACCCCTACGGTGATGAATTGCCCGCAAGGGGCTTCGACCCTGGCCAGGACACGTACGAGCACCCACCTGCTGATGGCTCCAGTAAGTTTTTATAATATAATTAATGTTGTGGAATTTTCTAGAAAAAAAACTTTTGTAATCAATTTGATTAAAACTACATTAGTCTGTGCCTCTTTTGATAAATCCGAACCGAAATGAATTGAAAAATGCATTTTCTATCTAAGAATTGGATTTATTCGTAACCATGGTCGCCATTAATTTACAGAAATATCGTTACCATGGTAACAAAAACGGTAATTCACGTTTTACTAGGCCTGGTTTATAAAATGAAATAAATGTATAAAATAAACAAAATCCCTGACAGAGGTGAAAGTGGACGTACTACCAACATCCGACCGTCTCCAACTCCTGGAGCCGTTCGACAAGTGGAGTGGCAAGGACCTCACTGACCTCACCATCCTCATCAAGGTGAAGGGCAAATGCACGACTGACCACATCTCGGCGGCTGGACCATGGCTCAAGTACCGTGGACATCTTGACAATATCTCCAACAATATGTTTATCACGTGAGTTCATTTTCACAATAATTATGCTCGATAAAAATAATCATAGCCAAATATGGAATATATAACATACAAAAAGGTTGAATTTACGAAACTTAGAAAGGAAAAATAAAAAGGGTGCGTGTACTTATGTACACGCGTAAGAAGTTATACTTCTTTGGCATTATTAAAAATAGTTTTTGATTGCATGCAAATAATTAATTACAATTAGATAATCAAAGACTGGAAAAGAAGTCATTATAGTCAATAAAGTTCAGTTTACATTTGAAAAATTAAATAAATAAATATTTATTATTATTCTCTTACATTAACGCCTTTAGTACACCTACGCGTTCGTATGCGGCTGCGAGTCTTTGCGAAATAATTGCGGTAGCGAAATATCTGCGGAACGTTAGTACACTGCAGTTTTTTCGCAAGGAAATATAATTGTAGCTTTATTTCTTACCATCTATCCCCGTCTTTTCTTGAATTTTCCTCCATGCCACCTCTTTTTTGTATGCATTTTTGTAATTAACATGCCCAACTAAATATAATTCGGGATAATTTCGAATCAAATTTAATAATAATTCAATATTTTCGGCTTCCATCGTGCGTAATTCTGTCCTCACTGACAGAACGCGTGGTGACGCATTGCGATGCGAAACTCCGCTAGCGAAACGGCTGCGTCTGTGTAACAGCCGTTTCGCAGTTACTTGCGAAACAATACCGACAAGGACGCAACTATTTCATCTAGCTATATAATAGAGCGAGACAAAACACATGCGAAACGTTGCCATACAACTTACAGTTTTTTCGTCGTTTCGCTGCCGCATGCGATTGCGTAGGTGTACTAAAGGCGTAAGTGTAACATAAATTCTATTATTATTTGAATGTTGTTTTTAAATTATGTCCAATGCCGTAGCATCTTCTGTGGGCAACTTCATTCTGTTAATTTTGTGTCACGGTGCGCGCGCATCGTAAAATTTCACTCTCATCAATTTTTCATAACGCGCCTAAAGAAGTATAACTTCAAAAATCAATAAAATATGAAATTCAAAAAATAATTCAAACATAAACCTAGTTTCAAGAGTTATCGACCATTTTTTCTGGATGAAGTTGAACCTTAAAGTTTATTCGTAAACAAAACTTTCCTTATCCTTATAAATATTTGTGAATGCTTTCAGAGCAACGAACGCCGAAAACGGTGAATTGAACAAGGTCCGCAACCAAGTGACCGGCGAATGGGGACCAGTTCCCGGAACAGCTCGCGCCTACAAGGCTGCCTCCGTACCCTGGTGCGTTATTGGAGACGAGAACTACGGAGAGGTGAGATATAAATGTCCTAGTGATACCTACAAATACGTCAAAATCTGAATCGCGCTAGAGGAGCGTTCAAGTATTAAGTAACGAATTTTAGGGGGGGGTCTCCTTTCGTAAAACGTTACGATGCGGGGCGGGGGTTGAATTACGCGTTATTGTTGATATTCTTTTCGACTTCCCCGTAATTTACATAATGGTTGGGTACAGAAAAACGTTACGGTGCGTTACATGGGGGGTCAATAATCTCCAAAAATTGCGTGATGTAATACTTGAACGCTCCCTAGCTAAATATTTCCGACCGCTATATATACAACATCTCCAGTCACTGGAGTCAGTCCGAGTTGAGTTGTCGTAAGACTGGTCAAAGTGTCTATTCGGTCGGCAGAAACGAACAACAGTCCTCCACAATCCATAGACAAACGTGTTATTAAATAAAAGAGGTTTTAAGTAGGATTTATCTTAGTTAAAAATAAAAATTACATAAAGATTACCTTTCCAATGGCTCGCCAAGACAGCAGGAGCTGAGCTGTCAAGGTCTTTCAAATAAAACAGCAATAAGAACCTTCCTCCACAATTCATAGACATAATGAATTAAAGAGGTTTTAAGCAGTATTTAACTTAGTTAAAAATAAAAATTTTATATAAATTACCATTCCTATTGCTCTTACGTAAACAATTGTATGCCAAATATTCATTTCACTGAAGTGTCATAATATTCGAAGTAAATAATTGCCTGACACTAGACTGGAGCTTCTTCTATTTCTTGTGCATAATATTATTTTTAAAACGATATACCCGTATTCCAATATGTCAAGTCACTTGAGCAATGACATGTCAAATTCAACTAGAAATAATGATTTGACAGATCTTGAAATTAGGATGAAGGTGACGTTCGATCCTCAGGTACAGCGTATACGATTGCTTACGTAGCCATTAACGTTTATCTATTCTGGTCATAGCGAATACTACTAAAAACAATTCCTTTTTAATCCAATGAATTATTTAAAAGAAACAAATGTTACGTTTTAAAATAAATATGGTTTTTTTTACGTTAAATTGTTTTAAAGGGCTCGAGTCGAGAGCACGCTGCATTGGAACCCCGTCACCTTGGAGGCCGCGCCATCATTGTCAAATCTTTTGCCAGGTAATTTTAATGTTGTCTCCTTTGGTTATTTAGTTGAATTAATTCCTATGATTCCTCATTGGCTTATTAAAATAAATTATGTTTAGAGTTTAAATATGAAAAAAATGGCACACAATGTGTAGTTGTCCTGACGAACTAGCTATTTTCTATATAATTATTTGGATACTTAAATCATGACTATGGTTAGTTTAAGAGTTTTGGCATGATAAATGTTTAATTTATAAGAAAATAAAACCAAAATACATATTAATTTTGAATTCTCAGAATCCACGAGACCAACCTGAAGAAACAAGGTCTATTGCCACTTACTTTCGCAAACGCCAGTGACTATGACAAAATCCAACCTACAGACAAGATTTCCCTTCTCGGACTTAAGGACCTCGCACCTGGCAAGGTATGTATATAACAAGTATTAATAAAAAACGTGTGGCACTCGGGGACTGCCGCGGTAAAGCTATTGCATAGCATTTTTTATCAACTTATGCAATCATAATTCTTTATTTATGCAGTCTTTTTTTCTTTGATATTAATTCAATCTACCAGACTCAGACTAACACGCCTATATAGTCTGTCTCACTCTAACGCGTACCGGCCGCGCTTACGCTACGTCACCGATCTCGTCAGAGAGATGTGAATACGCAGTATGCGTTCTGTCCCGCTCTAACGCACCTGCGCTACGTCACCGATCACGACAGACCGATGTGAGACGGAGTATGCGTTCTGTCCCGCTCTAACGCGTATTGGCCGCACGTATATTACGTTATCGTGTGTTAGGTTTCTTTTCGTTACGGAATTTCTAGATTCGGTCCCCGCGTTCAAAGCCCGCGATAAAATCTATGCAACAGCTTAAAAATATAAACAACAATTTTTAATTATTCATAATAATAAAATACATTTATTGATAAATAAATTTTATAATAATTTTTAGCCTTAATCTGCAAACTCAATAGTCAGTTCACTTGCGAATTTCACCCAGCACAGATTAGTCCCATATGTGCCTATGGCCAATTATAGAGATGGGTAATATCAGTTCGCAAGTGACCTCCATCATTGATTTATACAGAATATTGCTACTTATGTCTTCACTGCAAAACTGATCACTTGAATTTCCAATATTCAAACCCCCAAGCACGAATAATTCCTGTGCATGCAGTTCGTTACTGAGCCACAAATGTGTATAAAAACCCCATCCCAATTAAAAAATATAAATGTTGAAAATCTGTTGCAGCAAGTGGAATGTGAAATCAAGCACAAGGATGGTAAGACGGAACGCATTAAGTTGAATCACTCATTGAACGAGCAACAAATCTCCTGGTTCAAAGCCGGTTCAGCTCTCAACCGTATGAAGGAAATTGCTGCTCGCAAGTAAACGTTTGGATACAATCCATAGATAACAATTATGGCCTTTAATTCGAATTTCGAAACGCCAAATTCGCCGCGAAAATATGAAATGTTTCACAGATTATCATTGTTATTAGGTCAGTGTTGCCATTTATGAGCCATTATTTTGGCTGGTCTTAATGTTAAGTAATAATTTATGAACTTATTGTTTTTATAGGTATTTTATAATTATTCTGTATCCTTATATATATTTTTACCTGATTTGAGAGCCAATATTGTGTAAAGCTGGCAGCACTGATAGCAATAGTTACTTATTTTAAATAAATATTTGTATAACCATGTTGTTACCGTTTTTAGTACATATATACGATTGATGATTGTAGTGCATTTTGGAATGTCTCGCGGCGTGTATGTTACTTAGATTGTAGAGATATTTATAGAGATCACATTTCAAACTTTCTTCATAATGTATTATCAACCAATAATTATGTAAGTAAAGTTTTTTTTTATTTATGTACATAATTATTATTTTGTGTACTTTTATTTATAACTAATAAAAATTACGTACGTATGATTGAATTTTATTTCGAATTTTTAGTACCTACCCATGTATTTCTTGTTCCAAGCGAGGGTTTAAAAAAATTCTTGGTAGTGTTTACCTATGCAGTTTGTTTGTTACATTACATTGGAAAGTTTATAAGCGTCGCTACATTTTCGAGAAATAGCATGTTTGGAGGAAGCTTACTCTACTTAAATGTACCTGAATTTTTGCCAAAGGCCGGCAACTCAGTTTCACACTTTGAATTAGAATTTTAAGTTCAGTTTACTATTAAATATTTCTATGAAATTAAATTTTTAAATTATATTTGACTTAATTACTCAAAATGCTCTAATTAAACAAACTCTACCTAAGCCTAAACATTAATTATGGTAAAAAACTTTTCCTCATTCTTTTGTGTTTGTCATTTACAATCCATATAAAAAAGGTATGCTCTTTAGACTAAGAATGCCACAAATCTAGTAAAAATATTTATGTATGCCTTTTTTATTCTGAACAGATATTGGAATTGTTGAAACATGTTATAACTGATAATATTAATGCATTAGATAAGGTTAAGCGAGGTAAAAAAAATTAGTTAAGCAGTAACTCTTCAATATTTTTAATTATCTGTGCAAATTAGTTTATAGTAAAACAAAATCAATTTTTCCAGAAATTAAAACAAAGCTGGTCCTTAGGTAGGGAAAGATTAATATTAACCAAATGTTATAGGTTTTTCATTCAAGATTTCATTTAATGGTTATTTCTAATCATGAAATGAAAATCGTACAAATAAAAGACAAAATAGTGTAAAACTATATAATAATCAAAGGTCTAATCCTCATTATCTTCATTGTCACTGTCAGCGTTGATGTTGAAGTAACGCAATTCATATGAATCATGGGCTGAGGCAACCACTCGAAGCCAGTCACGCAGATTGTTCTTCTTGAGGTAACGCTTTGTCAAGTACTTTAGATACCTCTTGGAGAAGGGAATGTCTGGAAAAGTTTGTTTAAGTTTATGTATTGAAGTTATATACACATACAGACAGCCTATGAAGTTTAGGTGTACTCATATGTTTTAAAATAGAGCTTTAAGTACTTGCAGGACTAAAACTGGCCTGGAGTGATATTATGCTTATAACATATGCCTTAAGTCATGACCTGTACTAAACGTTAACAAGATTTCATAAATAGATGTATAGTTGCATGATCGCTGTTTAAATAAATATTAAATATACTCAACTAACCTGCGCTGATAGCTACTTTCGTCTTGTCGCGAGCGATGACAACGTGATTGCCTAGGTTATTGGTTTTGCCTTCAACTTTTACACGTTCTTTTAAGTATTTTTCGAAGTTACCCACATCGAGGATGCTGTCTTCGGCGGGATGTGTGCAGTCAATTGTGAATTTCAAATTGATTTTCCTTCTTTGACCCTTACCACGGATTTTACCGCCTTTGACACCCTTCTTACCAGTTTTCTGGTGTAATTGAGCTTTTTTAGCAACTGGCTTTTTAGCTACAGCCATTTTGGCAACCTGAAACAAAATGCTCTTTTCTAATATTATAAAATAACAAAATATCACTTCACATACATTATCTTAAATCTTTTTGAGTAACCTACCGAACACGTGTTACAGTCACCGAAAAACCTGCAAAATGGCCGATTTGAAATCACAATATTTTTGACAGCATCTTTTTTTCCGGTAGCAGATAATGAACCCTGCACAGACCACATATAAACAACAAACAAATTACAAGCGGCGTTACGCTTAGTAGTCTGTGACAGCGATACTCTCGCTTCGTTCTTGAGAAATTCAGCAAGTAAAACTCAAGTTAATGGGGTAACGGTGCGATAACGATGCACCCGAATCTGATGATTCTGATGATACTGAGTATGCAGGAGTCTTGGGGGACCTTCATTGGAATACCTCCAAGTGATTTTAGCTGCCGGAAATGCGTCAAAGTATTTTAAAAAAAATTTTAAAGTTTTGTGAAATGTATTGAAATTTGTAAACAATCCATCATTATCTACTTTTCTATTGGTTATAAGTGATGTGACATTTTCGGAAAATTAATCGGATCGATTATTTTCTCATTTGTTATTTTTAAAGTTGAACCTAATCGAATATATAAACCTAACCTAACCGATCTAGATAATAATTGGTTTTTTGGACAGCTCCGGCGCTACGGGAAATGCAGCCCCTCCACCCTTGCGTACCAAAGCACAGGCATTTTATTCAAGCCACCGCAACCTCGGCTTTATAGTCGCCTCCGGCGACCAAATATTCATATACTAACCTAACCTAACCGATCTAGATAATAATTGGTTTTTTGGACAGCTCCGGCGCTACGGGAAATGCAGCTCCTCCACCCTTGCGTACCAAAGCACAGGCATTTTATTCAAGCCTCCGCAACCTCGGCTTTATGGTCGCCTTCGGCGACCAAATATTCATATACTAACCTAACCTAACCGATCTAAATAATAATTGGATTTTTGGACAGCTCCGGCGCTACGGGAAATGCAGCCCCTCCACCCTTGCGTACCAAAGCACAGGCACACTCTTCCTCCGTGCCTCCGATTATTTATATACACTCTAGGGGTAAGGCAGACAAGACCACGTGGATAGTGGGGTGCTCTGATTCGGTTTTGGGTACTTTTTGAATAATTTAAAAAATTTCGGAACAATACACTAATTGAAACATGAAGTTAATGTAATGTAAGTACATTTGACAAGTAATGGTTAAATTAGCTTCAACTTTAAAATTAACAAATGAGGAAATAATCGATTCGATTAGGTTCAACTTTAAAAATAACAAATGTAAAATAAACGATCCGATTAATTTACCGAAAATGTCACATCACTTATAACCAATAGAAAACGAGAATGTCACATCTCTTAATTCTTATAACCAATGGAAAAGTAGATAATGGTGGATTGTTTAAAAAATTTCAATACATTTCACAAAACTTTATATTTTTTTTAAAAATACTTTGACGTATTTCCGGCAGCTAAAATCACTTGGAGGTGTTCCAATGAAGGTCCCCCAAGACTCCTGCATACTCAGTATCATCAGAATCATCAGATTCGGGTGCATCGTTATCGCACCGTTACCCCATTAACTTGAGTTTTACTTGCTGAATTTCTCAAGAACGAAGCGAGAGTATCGCTGTGTTATCGTTGTGTTATATAACACAACGTGTAGCGCCGCGCTCACGCCCCGTCCCGCCGTACTTTTCTTGCACTACTGTCGGGCGCGACGGTGACGGGACGCGACCGTTGGCGTCTGGCGCTGGGCGCGACGACTCTGTGTGACATGTCCAATATTAATTAGTACTAAGTCCGTTACAACTGCTCACGCCGCGTCGTCGTCCCGTCCCGTCCGCTGTCTCACTGACCAAACCTTTAGCGTTAGTAGTCAGTAGATCACGCCTGTAGAAAAATGATTTTGGCTCAAGCCCAACATCACCGATCTCACAGACTACAAAACACATGCGCATGTTCTATACGTGTCTTTGACAAAGTGACGTAACTTTTAAAATTTAATCACAAGTGAACAAGGGTAATAATTTAATCCATTTTTGTAAACAAAACAGAAATCTGAATTAACTTAACCTTTTCTTGTGTAATAAATTAATAAAAATAAGAGAAGTGTTGTTTGTGGTATTACAACAGTAATGTCTGATATTTTTAAACTATAAGATATGGAGAAATTCCTCCCAAGATCGATAAAGTCAAGGTAAACAAATGATACCAAGAAAATGGATAAATGTTTTGCCGTATGCGGCTGTGATGACCTGGAAGGAATAACTAATTCAGATTTAGATCGTTTTACGGATAAAATTGAAAATGTGTTAAACGACGAAAAAGGGAGACGACTTTTCAGGAACTTCATGTTTTCTAGTAATATGAAGCATGGAAGAAGAGCATTAGACTTTTGGGAGCATAATGAAAGGCTACTTAATTATTCTATGGATGCCGACAGTGTTTCTTTTCGGAATTATTTAAAAGATGTGGGCCGTCTTCTTGATGAAGCTGAAAGAATAGAAGAATTAGACTTCGCATCAGTGGAAAGACTGGCAGCAGCTCATGAAGGTGGGAGCAAGGAAGAGATAGCAGAAGCACTTAAAATAATTAAGCTTGATATTACCAAAGCCCTCCGAAGAGAATATTTTGCATTTAGACTCCGATTCATACCACCTAAGCATCAATAGTTCAGTACAATTTGTGATGTACCTTTACAATATATTGTTATTTTTTTCTACAATACCTGCCTTTACATCAACAATTTTGGTATTCTCAATTTTGTTATTTATTGAAGCAATGCTTTTTTGTATATATTGACACAATTAAATTATTAAGTAATATTAATATGGTGGTTTATATTTCAATCTACTTTTAAATTACATAACATACAAGCAAAACATAAAATTTTGTATTTATTGCAAATATACAGTTAAATACAAGAAGTAATATAGATAGTTTACATACAATCAATCAGATTCCATTAATATTATTACAATCGAAAACTTATTGCTATTTTGTATTTTAAAAATTGCATATATGAATTCAATTACATTTCAATTCTTACTTAATTAATGTAATAATGAACTATGTTGCTAATTATTTAAATTTCACTAAACTAGATATATAGTTGTATCACATAGAGTCTGCCTCAAAACATAAAATTGATGATTTTTCTTAGATAAATTATCACTATGGCTGCAAATTAATTGCAGCTTGCTTATTCCTAGGTTTTCTTCCAAGAATAATACATTTCAAGAGGCTTGTTGACCTGAAACAAAAATAGTTTCAATCTGTTTGTATTCTGTATGTGTGGTTTAAAATATTTCTGCAGTAAGGTGCCTATTTTCATATCAAGACCTATCCTACTCCTTATCATTTTTGGTGCTCACACCATGTTATAATTGTAAGCAAGCTTTGTTGTATCATGGAATATACAACAAAAAAGGTGTTTGTTAAAAGTTCACAGATGCAGTTGAAATTGTATTATAATCTTAATTCCACCACAGAAAAGCAATGACTTACAAATATATGGAGTGTTTTCTACCTTTGCCTCCCAGTGTCACCCTTAGTAATTATATTAGTGTGTTTTGTATGTTACTTTTACCATTACTTGGTAAATATGCTATTCAACATATTATAAAGTATTTTTATTACAACAGATTGGACAGCACAAACTCTTTTGCTTAGTAATATTTGTATTAATGTAAGGATTCACTAATCAATTTGAAATGGAATTAAAAATATACCTTCCAATATTTATCATTGATCTGCCTTAATGTCTGTGCTCCTACTAATGGCACAAACTGTCCAGGTGTTGGTGCAACATAGATACAGAAGTTGAGCAGTCGATATGCCTCTGGCAACTCAGTGTCGAGGTCAAGTGTAAGCCGCATTGCAAGGTATTTGCTCAGGTGGTCAACTGTAATAGATTTTAAGTCATATTAGAATTTTATAGAGTTGGAACGATAATATTAAACATATTTATAGAAGCAACTTATTTAGTAAAGTCTTTGGTTGTTCTGAATATTTTTTATCCCATTACTACATGTATTTTAAAAATTACCAGAAGCATTAGCTGTGGTCTTCAGGTATCGTACAGAGCTATCTCTCAAAGCTCTCATAAGTTGGTTATCGCCCATCATTTCAGTGGGATGTGGTTTAAAAACCAGCTCAATCTCATTTGGATTCAGCACCTCCCCCTCACCCTCTGTGTCCATAGAATTTTCACCCTCTGTTCTGGAATAAGTTGGTATAAAGTGATAAAATATTCAATGAGATTTGTCAAGCCACACTTCAAATATATGTTTCCTATGTAAGTGGATTTACAATAAGAAAATATTTAACTGACACTTGATATTATTTTACATTAATTTATTCATACTTGATATATACATGAGAACATTCTATTATTTAGGGTCACTTACAACACTTTTTTAAGCTATGTAGAAAGCCATTTTAACGTTTTACGGAGTTTGAAATCAACAATTAATTACAAACCTGCCATCACTAGATTCACTTTCTTCACTTCTCTCTGAAGTTAATACAGACTTTGCTCTTTTAGTTGTACTAGTATTTTTTGACACAGAACTCAGATTGGATGGACTTGGAGATGGTGTACTTCTTACAGATGCAGGATTTGATGTTGACTGACCAGATGGGATAGGATTTCCTGTGGATGAGGAACCTTCTCTATTGTTTGTAATGCTTGTTGTACCTCCATTTTGTGGTGGGTCAGTATTATTTCCATTAACAGTAGATGTGCTATTAGCGCTGCTTTCTTCTTGATTTTTCCTGGATCGTTGAGGCCTATTCTGAGACTGTAATTTGATTCCTTCTGTGATAGAGTTTACAAGGGAAGCTTGAGAATGGGACATATTAATCTTAGCCAACACTCTTTCTTGATGAGCTTCATATTCATCTCTACTTGGATATATTTTAGATATAAGTAGATCAAAATTAGGATCGGGTCGCAAGGACCGCTTTGAAACCAACTTCTTTCGACAGGTCGGGCATTCTTTGTTACCAGACCGTAATGCAGTTATAATGCAATCCGAACAAAATCTATGTAGGCATTCTTTTGTTGTCATGGTCTTCTTGAGCATATCTAAACATATTGGACACATTAGTTCACTGTGCAAACTACGCGGGGAGACGGCTATCTCCGTAGCGTCTGTTATTACTTCCTGAGGTGTTCTATGTAACTCGTATAGTGACAGCTCCCATGTCTTATTTTGAGAAGGTTCTGTTGACGACATGTTTAATCTTAACAAACAATACGTTTTTCTTCTAAGTGGTATTACAAGGCAAGCACATAAAGCCTTCGGCCTACACTGCCGCCATTTTGTTTACGTTTGACTCTGATATTTGATTATTGATAACAATTCAAAACATTGTTTATGACTTTGACAGTAACAAAACATTCCAACTACAGAATATGATGAAGCGTAAAGTTTCTACAAATTTTATTGTATTCATATTTTAATAAAAAAAATTTAAACTCCAGAATCTCAGAATTTATTTTAGTTATAATTCAAAATTTACGTTCACATTTAATGAGGGGTATAGTATCAAAGGCAGCTAAATCGGTATGAAATTATTTTCCACAAAACGAAAAAAACTGTTATTTTATTTTCATTTGGCAAAACCGTAAATACGACTGTTTGACAGGATGCTCTGGTACAAAATAAGCAGGTGTATCAACACACGTATCTTGTAAGAGAAGGATAGAACGGCTATTTTAAATAAATTGTGCTGTACATAGCTGTGTTTGATACCAACTATTGGATTTAGCTGTCTTTGATTCTGACAATTATGGATATAGCTGCCTTTGATTGCAACACTGGGCCGATGACGTCACGATGCTAGAGATGTACGCATGACATCAGAAACATCGAATGGTGTGGATAATCGTATGATATATGAAAAAATAAATAGCATTTAATTTTACTTCCATTATAAGATATGTACGTTTGGCTAATATAAATGCGAAAGCAACAGTCAGTCAGAAAAGACAGTAAAAATAAAAACAAAATATGAAAAATCAACTTTATTCGTTTGTAAATTGTGAAGTAGGCAGCAAGGTGATTAAAATAATGTGAACCTTAATCGGATGAGAGGAGAGATGTTACGCTAAGATGATGAGATGTTACTTTAAAATATGTTATCGTTATATCCTTAGCGTAACATCTTCCTCGACTCCTTCACAAGTTTCGTCTTCCATGACATTTGTTTCATTTTCTCCATTCTCTTCTAATAGCTGTAATTCTTCTTCATCTAGGTTAAATAAAACATTCTTGTAGTATACCAAATTAGGTAACTCCTTCCAGTCTTCACCATAATGCTTTTTTAGTAGATTTCTCACATCTCTGAGCTTTAGTGGTTTTACATCAATGACTTGCTATTGTGATTACAGGTAATTCTACCAGGAAACGAATGCGACGAGTACCTATGAAAAAATTGAAAATAAATTAAAATGTTTGACAACAATGTTATCGAACTTGCATTACAACGCGCACATCACTAGTCTGTACTTACCTTTGAATTTTCGCCCTGTTCGCCTTCCATTTCTCCGGCTCTCTCTTGCGTTTTCTTCCTCTCCCGTGTATAGCTTCTGTTATTGGCACTTCCATATCACTTTCAACTCTACTTTTAACGAAGTTTTGCCAATTAAATTGTCCAAAATACCACAAAATTTAAATAAAATCGACAGACGCAGACGCACGTTTTTAACTGAAAGACGCCATATTGAAAAACGTAAAATAGATCGCTCTGATTGGCCAGCCGCGACTTTAGCTGTATTTGTTTCTCAGCATTATGGATATAGCTATCGTTGATTCTAATGCAGTTTTTTGACGCAGATTTTCTATAGGATTTACTTAGCTTTTTTTGATAAGAAAAGATATTCATATCATAAATAAAATTGGTCAAAGAATAAAATGGCGCTCATAGTTTATAACCGACCAGAGTGTGGATATAGCTGCGTTTGATTCTATACCCCTCAAATGTAGTTTTGATATAGGAACATATTATCATAAAGTTAATTAATTTGTGTACTGCTAAATGATATATATTTCTAGTATATTCAGTACTCTGCGATACTGTGCGGTAATGAGGGCAATAATAAAGTACCTAAGTATACTAACTAAACAAATATAATAAAATCATGAATAACAAAAAAATACGAAAAAAAAATTAATATCACTTAGAGTAAGATTTTTAACTTTGGTAGGTGTTAAACGTTTATTATTTTGTTCAGTGTATATAGATGACTCCAAGATAGTATGGGCCCACTGAAAATCGTTGTTGTGTTTGTATTTCTTTTATATACAAAAAGTTAAAACAAATATATTTTTGAATTAGTATTTTATTATTCAAACAATTAATTTAGACATACTATTTTCCTTGTTGAACTGGAATTAATATTTGGCCACTACTTTGATTGGGTACAAGCGTGATTACATTGCCTTGATTGCTGTTCGACATTGACTGAATAGGTTGTTGAACCATTATCCCTGGCTGGTTTGACTGTAATTGCTGCCCGGGTTGCTGTACTAGAATGGTTTGTTGACCTGGTTGCTGGCCTGGTTGTTGAAGAAGAATTGTCTGTGGTCCTGTTGGCTGGGTCGGTTGCTGAACAAAGAAGGTTTGATGATTTGGTGGTCCAGTAACAAATATGGTTTGTGGCTGGCCTGACTGTCCTTGTGGACTTTGAACAGTAAATTGCTGTTGGCTTGACGGTTGTCCAACCACGATTTGTTGCTGCCCGGCAGACTGAGGAATTAAGAAAGTCTGTTGATTTGGTTGCTGAGACAATAAAACTGTTGGCTGCTGGTTGGGCTGTTGAGAAACAAGTACTTGGTTTGGTTGTTGTTGCAATAAAACTTGCTGACCATTAGGTTGAGTAGCCAGGATCATTGTCGGCTGATTTGAAGGCTGGTTTACACGCTGAATTACCATCTGTTGGGGCTGGCCCTGTGGTGACGCCATGATGAACGTTTGTTGAGGCTGTCGTGCCATAAGCACTGTTTGGCCTGGTTGACTGGGTTGACTAAATACGATACGTTGGCCTTGCTGGTTTACATAAGTGGGCTGTTGTGAGGGTTGGCTTATAAACGTTTGTTGGCCTGGTTGGCCGATATACGTCTGTTGACCAGGTTGGGTAATAAAGGTTTGGCCTTGTGTCGGTTGGTTTACATAGGTCTGTTGGGCAGGCTGATTGACGTACACTGGCTGCGGGGTTTGATTGACTTGCTGTTGATTTGGTTGTTGATTAACCATGACTGCCTGTTGCGCGTTACCCGCGTTTGGTTGTTGGTTAACAATTACATTCTGTTGTGTTGGTTGCTGGCCTGGGTTATTGGAGGTCACTTGGACATTGTTTTGACTTGCTGGATCTCCGCTCCTCTGTTCCAGTGAAGAATCTTGGCCACTTTTTCGACCTTGCAAGTGATTAAAGGTATCAGCAGGTATAAACACACCCGAAACTATATCTTTGCTTTGCCCATCTACTATAGGGATAGCAGATGTAGACGCTAGGTATACCGCAGCAAACGTAGTCTGAAAACAGAAGTAAAACTAATTATAAACTTAACTTTATTTTGAAAATAAGAAACTAAATATAGTCTATGGAATAATGCTGTAAAACTTCTAGGATTAGGTAAGGAATATGTTAAAGTACTCACCAACAGTATTATTCTCATGTTGTCGTCGTAACGGGCGCTCTGATAATGAAGAAAACTATTCGATAATGTTGTTTTATAGCAATTTGATTCAACAGATCATCAGTTATCTAATGTCGTAGGGATTTTCTAATTATTTAATTTTGTGGTTGTGAGAAATGCTCATTTTTAAATTATATATCGATTAAGCACCAGCCTAAATTAATGATTAAGAAATAGGAAACCCCTGATGAGACTCATAAATAAGAAATATTTTAGTTTAATAGGTTAGTTTTATTATTACAGTTGTTATGCTATTCTTAAACAACTTATTGCAAAAAATGTGTTGAATCAAATCCATATCTACATACCATATAATATATCTCCCTCAAGAATAAGTTTAGACATATAAAAATAGTGTACTTTAGTATTTAGAAATAAAACAGTTGTTGTTGTACATATTTTATGAAAATAATATACAATGAAAACAATTTTTGACACTTTTTTAAATTATTTTCTGTGATTGATTCCGGTATACAAATAATCACAATGACAACAAAAAACGTTCAAACTAAAAAAACAAGTCAAAGGTGAAACTTAACAAAAACTAGGTATAAAGTAACATATATACATATATAATATATATATGCTTATGCATGATACGTTACATGATCAAGATGTGTAATTCCATTAACATTAAATATTAAAAACAGAGTATTTGCCCACTGACAATTCGTGTATCTCGCTTTCTATTCTGCTAGCACGGAGAATACGAAAGATCAAATGTTTAAAGAAACATACTAAATAGAAACAGTAAATTATTAAACAATCAAATTGATCAAGGCTCCGTATTTGAAACAGGAAAACCAAAAATACATATTTTAATATTGTATTAAGTTACACACACACACACCAAACTTTTGAACTGATCCACTTCTTATCTCGTAAAAACAGACGTAGAGATTTAACATAGATACTTACAATAATCATTGAGCCTGTTGTCGTGGAATAATGTCGTACTCACAATAATCGTACATCAACATATTAAACCAATAATCCACCGTCTGTGTACCTATCGTTCTGGTATTGACCGTACGCCTGAACTTTGCACTTGGACGCCTGGATACCATTTTCTGCCTTGATTGTCGGGAAGTTGAAAGGCGTTCGGGCGTAGTGGATAAATTCGCAGATCGGTACTCGACTCTCTTCCTTTTACGTGAAGATCGAGGCAGGTTTGTTTGCTGCTCTGGCGTTGAAGCAGACTGACTTGAATAAGTTATTCGTTGTTGTTTTAATGGTGACTTATTAAGTAAGGCAGGATGGCGAGGAGAGTCCGAAAATCGTTGTAGTATGGGACTGTACTCCCATGAAGCTTTCCTACGTCGGACCTCTTCAAGAGAACGATTATCTAAGATGTCGGTGGAATCTGTAATCAGGAGCATAGTGGGACATGGGGCAAAGATGCATGTATTATAGATCGAGTTATAAATAAACTTATTTGAACAATTTATTTGAGCTCATACAACTGATGGGAATTATTAACAAAGTATATTAATCTTACTTTGATAACTTATAAGTACAGTCAAACCTGGGTAAGTGAGAACTGGATAAGTGAGAAAACTCTATAAGTGAGAGTAATAACCGGAACCCGTCATTTTAAGTTCCCAAAACCTCTATTAGCGAGAAACAGAAAGCTTTGTAAGAGAGAGTCGTTTTACCCTCGTGGACCTCCGTAAGTGAGACTGCTACTTATCTATACCTCTATAAGCGACAGTCGAGCTTTATTTATTTATATTATTTAGGAGGAACTATAGCTACCATAAAAATACATACATACATACATAAAGGATACACAGACACAGTAACAAATGACAAAACAAAGTACAAATTTAACATCTGTTATTTTATGACTCATTCTTAACTTTCTAAATAAGATCAAAATAATATATACCATATGTACATAATATATGTTATGCACATTATGCACATACTTGTATCATATTACATATATACGACATTCGTACTTTCTGTGACTTGTTATTGCTGCGTACCTCATAAGCGAGAATGAGATTGTGCTCCCTTGAAAACTCGCTTATCCAGGTTTGACTGTACTAGTATTTTTATTATATATAGTAACCTATCGAGCACGCGATCAGGCAGATCCGAAAAGCTAGGCAGCAGGGCAGTGTGAAATCTCCTAATAATCTTTCCTAAAAAGTGACTTTATTTGCTTAAATCTAGGTCTGGTGGTCTTAGCGTCTTTCGCCGGGCCCGGGCGTCAACTACTCCGGAAATATCCTCATGATATTTATGGACGAGTCGAGCAAGTCCTAATACGTAAATAAGTATGAAAATTAAATCTAAAAAGTTATGCAGTGCGTGCGAGGTCTAAGATACGTTTCTTAGTAAACGACTAAAAAAATTGGGTAAGGAATAATATAAATAAATCAGACAGAAGACACAGTTAATACTACTGAAGTCTTGTCAAGTTTATCAAAATGAAACAAACCATCATTTTCTTCCAATACGTCAGTAGATATGTCGTCATCTACACGACTTTGCTTTTTTTTCGCCTCACTTTCCGCTCTGAGTGCCTTGATATGATTTTCTAGTCTTTCAGGATCTGTCACTTCATCGTCATCATTCCTCAACCGAACGTATTCAATGGTAAGTTCTGGAGAGGGTGGCGCTGTGGAGTATACATGTTCAGCAGTTTCTCGTTGTGGAGAATTTAGAGCTGTAAATAGCGACATAATAGAAGTAAAAAAATGTTTTAAAAATTGCACTGGCTTTTTGGATGCTAACGATTAAAGCCAGGGTATAAAAGTTGGTGGACTCAGTTTCCGCACTTAGACTCTCACTAGTTGTGCGTACGTTTTAATAATTTACATAAATTAAGCCTGATAATAAATAGTTGTAGTTTGCTAAACACTAGACCATTGAGTTAGACAATATACATTGATTACAAGTAGCTATCTACTAACATCTGTTAAAATTAGTCTCTTAAAGGTTTCATTACGTCCATGGGCAGGTTAACACTTGATTTTTAGAGACCCGCATAGTAATCAAATAAAAACAAAAACACGTGACCTCATTTCACCAATTCAAACCAAATATGGACGACGTTAGTGGAAATTGAAACTCAAATGAAGTAACCAATACATCGCGTTTTCCTTTTCATAAGCCGACATTATTTTGAATCTTTTCCACGTTTATGTATTATAGTTTCACGAAAATGATATAAACAGAAAATTCAATATTGTCATCGGTGTGTGGTTTTCATCGTCTTCTAAGTTCCTCGCTCTTTCCAGAATGGAAGTCGACTTTAGTTCAGCACATTTTGTAATGAGATAAACGCGTCATTTAAAATTCAGTCAAAGTAAACTCATCACAAAACTTACGTTGTAGATTCACGAACATGCTTCTTATTATTCTATTCCGCTGTTCCTCTTGATCACGGCTAGACATTTTTTTAAAGTAAACGACTACCTGTAGCAATTGAGGTGTGGAAATGTGTGTCACAGATCAGTATATCTCATTAAAGTAAAAGAAGTGTCCTCATAAAAATATGAGGGTAGACAAAAAAAAGTTACTACCGTCAAAGTTATCATTTGCAATTATTTAATAGAGTTTGTGTTTTGAAAATTCAATTTGAATTCTTTTATATTTGTAAGTTTGTAGAGCGAAATAAATATTGTCTTGTGCATCTTAATATTATAAATTTATAGTTTACTTAATTTAGTAATAATTCAAACCAATACAAAATAGTATTATTACTTTTGCTGTAAAGGGTTCCTACTTTTTTATCAAGTTGCTATAAATGGTTTATGTTGCTAATCAAGAGTTCTAAAATAAATTTTCCGAAGTGCAAATGACTCATACCCAGAAAAAAAACAATATCATTGTTTAATAAGACTTAATTATGAATAATTAATTGAAAGGAAATAGGATCGTGACGGGTGTCTAGGGTCTCCTGCCCTCTTTTATATCTGCAATAAACATATGGATGAGATTATTTAGGCACTCCGATATATATTTTAATAACATATCGTCTTTTCTTCCTCATATATCTGAAGTCTGTTCTGTACCATAGAGTACCTATGAACATATAATTACATCAACGAAATATTACATTTGCGATTGGATTTGCAAAATAGCTAATTACTTAATTATTCGCATTACGGCCTATCCTCTATCTTTTCTCTTCTAAGAAAATGCCACAATCACAAAAAATAAACATCAGAGCAATAGATAAATGACTGAAACCGCCATTTTGTAAAGATCTGTGGTATAAAAATTCTTATTGCAGTTTCCGGCCTAACGTCAAAATTAACCTTTCCATTTTGTTAGCATAGATTTCGCATGTTTCCGGTTACTAATGTTTACGCCTACCAGATAATCTCTTGGCTTAATTATTTAAATTTGTAACAGTTAGCTCATTCGGTGCACATACCACGGCTGATTGACTGCGGTTACATTCGACGGTAATTACTATGAGGTATTTAGTTCAATGCTTTAGGAATTGTGCCAGAGAATTAGGGATATTTCAACTAAGCAATGATTTTTTTTTAGTAATTTTAGAGTGTAAGGTATAGCTATTCCTTTTCATGAAAGAAGTCCCCCAGACACAGCGCTGTAATCGCATGACGTAATGTTGCCATTTATGAGTAAAAAATTTACCTATTTTACATTTAGCATATTTAATTAATCAAATAATACTATTTTCTGCATACTTCTATGAAACAATATTTCTGTTATGTAAAAAGTATATTTTAATTTACTTATATAAGCGGTGTTCTACCTACTTACAGGGATAAGATGAGAAAATAGGGTAAAAAAAACAATACAATTTTTTATTCAGAGTTTTATTGAATAATTTTAGATCAGCGGCCATAGGAACATCACTGTCTGAAGAGTGGATGGAAACAGAATCAGATTCTGTTTCAGTATCACTAGCCGTAGATATAATTGTTCTTTTTTATATTGATACTCTTCCCCGGGGTGACAATTTATTTCAAAGTACTCGCCGCTATTATACCTTCATTTGTAATTCTTGTTACAGCAATTGTTACCTGCAATTAAATAATAAACAATTAAAAATAATAGTAACTTTTAGTTTATAATGCTTATGTAACTATGTAATATATGTTTTAATTTCACTTACCTAGTTTCATTCGTTATGTATTTGTTCAATTTTGTCGCGAAAATGAATTTATATCATAAAAGTCCCATCAATACAGCAAAAAATTATTATGTGGCAACTCTAAAAAATACCTGTTATAGCGGCGAACATTGTTTAGTGGTATTAAGACACCTTGATTATTTTGTTCCGCTTTAAAGAACTCTTTCAATTACAATATCATTTCTCGAGCCGAATTTTTTACAACTTTTGGCATTGTAAACAATCTTTAAAATACACTAAGCTAGTTAAAAACTCACAAAAATCTACCACAACAAACGAACTTGATAACATCGACGAACGACAACATGGCCGACCTGTGAAATTTAGTTCCAAAAATCTCCGCGGGACTTCTTTCATGAAAAGGACTATACACATAGTACCTATAGTAGGGGAGCCCAAGCGGGGATTTCGGGATTTACTAAAGCGCGGCAGATTAATATACAGGGGGATACCTTGTACCCGGTTAAGTACCTCCACAAAACATGAGGCCCATATATAAGGCCGCCCGTGAAGGATACAGGATCAGATTAGTAAAAAAAAATTGACAATCAGAAATTCTCGAGCGCGTCAGATTAAGATAGGGTGAGTTAATTACATCCTAAAAAGTGTATACTTTCTGGCTGGCAGAGCGGCGCCTCACGGCGAACGCCGCCAAAACACAAGCTATCATCTTCGGGCAGGGGAGAAAGCTCCCGCCGCCGCTCACCCTGCAAGGGGCCGAGGTTCAGTGGCGCCCCCAAGTCACCTACTTGGGCATCACGCTGGACCGAGGCCTCACGATGCGCCCGCACGTCGCCGCAGCCGTAGGCCGCGCGAAGGCGGCCGCCGCCAGACTGAGCCCGGTGCTCCAGTCGAGCCTCCCATTACGACGTAAACTGGCCCTATACAAGACCTACATAAGACCACATCTCGCGTTACGTGAGAAACGCGACTATTTCGAGAGACCTAAGACAGCAAGGTCTAGACGACTTTATCGGCGAGCTGGCGAGGCGCATGTTTGAGCGTGCGGACGCCTCCGGCTTCGAGCACCTCCAGCGCCTCGCCCCGCATCATACACGACCTCCAGACCACAGGCGAGCCTTCCCGCGCGAGCTGGTTCGCGCGGAGTCAGATGAATCTCAGTGACACAATTACAATTATTATAACACCAACATCCAAGACAAAAGGGCTGGACCCCTCCCGTCGGCGTCGCGGAGCGCGCAGAGGTTTCGTCCGCTGGTCTGCCTCGCTGGGCTTCCCTCGGGTAACCGAGGGTCTCACCCGGTGTGGTATGACCGCGCCCACGCGCGCCCGTTGCCGCCACGGGGGGGCGCCACCAGCCCCACCGACATGAGACAGGAGGCGCTGCGTGAGCGAAGACGCTCCGTAGCGCAAACGAGGTTCAGGGCCGCTCCAGGCCCGCCCCAACGACCGTCCCGCCGTTGAGCGGGACGCGTATCCCGCAACCCCCCGCAAGCCCATGGGCGTAACGGGGTTCCCAGCGCCACATAAGGGTGATTGCGCGGAAGAAAGCAGACTCCTGTTACAGGGATAAGATGAGAGAGAGAGTTTTATTGAATAATTTTAGATCAGCGGCCATAGGAACATCACTGTCTGAAGAGTGGATGGAAACAGAATCAGATTCTGTTTCAGTATCACTAGCCGTAGATATAATTGTTCTTTTTTATATTGATACTCTTCCCCGGGGTGACAATTTATTTCAAAGTACTCGCCGCTATTATACCTTCATTTGTAATTCTTGTTACAGCAATTGTTACCTGCAATTAAATAATAAACAATTAAAAATAATAGTAACTTTTAGTTTATAATCCTTATGTAACTATGTAATATATGTTTTAATTTCACTTACCTAGTTTCATTCGTTATGTATTTATTTCGTTATGTCAGATCAGGCGAATCCCTCTAGATAATCGTTAGATTATGAGACAGTACGTTTAGAACATAAAGATGAACCATATATATCTTAATCTGACGCGCTTGAGTATTTCAAAATGGCGAATTTTGTTTGCACATTATGAAAATGGCCGCGGGTTTGCGTCCCATCGAAATCGTCAGATTAGTGAATGAGAGCTTTTTTTGGCGCACTTAACACTCACACACTTAAATACAACCACCCGCATCATGCAAACGATCAGATTAACATACGTACATTATTAAAAATACGTAGGGCATTGATGCTATCAATATCTGACGCGCTCGAGGATGTCCATGCAACAGTTTTTTTGTACATATTTAAAAATCTATAGCCGCTTCCCCCACCGATGTAAAGGTATATATCATATAACATTTTTTTCTTCTTATCATCTAAGCTTTGCATCCCAATAGGTCTCTACGACGCTCGAGTAAATCCCCATTTAGCATCGTGGGCTCCCCTACTACTAGATACAGACTAGGTATGACGTTTTTATTAAAAATTTACGGGCTTTTGCCTTATATATCAATATCATACAAGTGATCTGTGTGATGATAGTATAAAGTCAAAGTCGATCGTTATTGTTTCTAAATGCTTTACATTAAAGCCATATACTGGGTTATACAACAATACTTTTGGATTTATGGTGCTGATGAGGCAAGAACCTTACGGGACCGCAAATCAATATAGAAGCTTATAAGTCGAGATATTAGATATACGTAGTGGGATTCGTAATTGATGAGTTTTTCATGTTTTAATTCGTGAAAACGCTTTTTATAGAAATAAAAAGTGTTATTTTGATTAAAGATCGAAAGGTACATATTATTCAAAATTTATCAAAAATTATACTATTTAAAACAATATTAATGGAATTATTGGCAAATATTTATAAAACTGTTAAATATAGAGAAAATATAATATTAAACTTATTATAACAGTAACTAATCTTCTTCCCTACTATTTCAATGAGTATAATTAACTTGCTTGGTTTATTAAAACCTCGCGAAGAAGCCGTGTTTATGATACGAAAATCAACGGCATTTGTCAAACAAAGAAGGGTGATGCACTAGTAATGTAGTGTAGTGTAAATACGATTAATAATATCATACACTGTCAAGTTCATATAGTAGGGTAACGATTCTATGTTATATGGCAGATAATCTTGATTTTTTTTAATGGCTCTAGCACGATTTGTGCATTAGCCAGCGTCAAGTATAGGATTTTTTATAATTCGTGCTTGTCTTTAGAAATTCGACCGTGTCCTTCATGTACGGTTTAAGCACTCGCCCGGTACCGCACAACCCTCCCAAAGGCCGAGAACAAATTTAAATTAAATTAAAACTTGCCCTCGAACCGGGAATCGAACCCGGTACC